AATCATAATACTGATATTTTTTTTTATTAAATAATTTTTCTTATAATTTTTGTACTCTGTGTTATTAACTAATACTAAATCTATGGGTTCAAATGTCATTGATTGTACATCTGAATTTTTACCTAGATCTCAAAAATTGCAAGAACATATTTCTTTAATTAATTAAAAACCTGTACAAGCAGTTAACAAAAAAATATAAAAGATTATAAAGTAAATTATTATACTCTGTTCTAAAGATTTAGGTGGTTTGAGGGGTAGCAATTACATGCCATCCACCTCACCCTAACTTTGAAACAACAGCCAACAGCTGATTAACTGATATCTATATATTAATTTGAAACTGTTTTTCTTTGTGACAGCTAATTTGAGAGAACGGCTGGGCGTAGAAACTCGGTGGGGGTCTCTAACGAAAGGTCTTGGTCTGTAGATGAGCCATCAAAAGAGAAACGTGGTAAATTCCCTTGGGGCTCTGCCCCAGTGGCCTTTAAATTTCCATCCCATGTTATTCTTATGGAGGAAAAACTGGTTTTTGTCACAGCTAATTTGAGAGAACGGCTGGGCGTAGAAACTTGGTAGGGGTCTCTAAAGAAAGGTCATGGTCTGTAGATGAGCCATCAAAAGATAAACGAGGTAAATTCCCTTGGGGGTCTGCCCTAGAGGCCTTTAAAGTCCCCTCAGCAGATTTGTTTATAATATGACCATGTGTATAATTTTACACTACTTTTAATGAACCAGCTGTTAATTTTAAAATTGTATTTCAAAAGTCAAGTGTTATGAACATTTACTGAAACTGTCAAAATTAAATGTTTACATTATTATTTATGATTTTAGACTTGATTCTTCACTGCATTGCAAGCTTTTTATAGTTTGAACAAAATGATGAATTCATGATATGTTTTAAATTTTTTGTTCAAAAATCTATGCTTTAATGCACATTGAGGATGGGACCTGTGTTCCAGTTTTGGAATAGATTAAGCACGGAGTAGGTTTAATCTATGGTTTGGTGCAGTAGGTGAATTAATGGCAGTTCATGTATTAAAAAAGGGGGGAAGGGTTTTTACTTTGATGTACATATCTAGCTAGGTCGAACAATGCTTATAAACCTCACTACATTCAAAACATTTGAAAATACAACAGTGCCATCACATCTCATCTCATTGGTATAATTTGTTGCCAACCAAGCCGGACTAGGTTATGGATGTGTTTCAGCAAATGTTCAAGATTTGTAGTCAAATTCACTACAATTATGGTCCCATCCCATCCCATCCTTAAAATGCACAACTTTATGTGATTGATACGGCCAAGGCAAAACTACGCCAGAAGTTAATCAATTAGCAAATAAGTACAGGATGATTAATACATTGGTCAATGTGGCAGGAGAAGGAACCAAATTGCTTGGATCAAAGTAAGAATGTTTATGCCTTCTGGAGAATCAGATATTTTTACCAAATACAAAAAACTGATTTAATATGCTGATGAAATTCTGTATTTTATGACCAAAGATGGTGATTCACTTATGCAATCCAAATACGGTCTGAATGATTTTCCTAAAGCAGATGTAACCAGTTATTAGTAATATAGACTCTTTCCGTAAGATGACAGGCCAATTATTTGTAATCCTTTTCCCATATAGTAAAAGTGGCTTTAACATGAACAAAACTTATGAACAAGAAACAATTATAAGACTCCTAAAAAACCTTTTGGGCAACCTAAAGCCAACCACGTTTTTGAAGGTACTTACACAATCTCATATTCATTATTATGCTTATCCTTTCTTAATTTAACTAAGATTTTTACTCTATCATCGCAGATAGCTAAATTTACTTAAAACCTCAAGAGTAACCGTCGATTTTGACGGGTTTCCCCTAGTATAAATTAAGCTAAAAAAGTGGTGGGGAAATCCAATAAACCTTCCCCTTAAACTGCCTAAATTTGTTGAACAGACTATAGTAGTTTATACAGTTATTGATATGTCAAAATTAAATTTACAAAACAATTTTAAGTTAATGATCAGCTAAGGAATCAAACTTATGGAAGTAAACACAACACAAACCTTGGCTGAGCGATGACGATATTCTGTTTGCGTCTCCACAAAGCATAGCGATGTCCGATGCAGACCAAAGCCAGACATAAACCTCCCATGACAACAATGATGAAGATCCAAGTAAAGAACAGAGATCTCATGGAATACTCCTCTTCACCTGTAATCAATAACCCCTGACGGTAATATTGTGAAGAAGTGTCTCTTCACCTGTAATCAATAACCTCTGACGGTAATATTGTGAAGAAGTGTCTCTTCACCTGTAATCAATAACCTCTGACGGTAATATTGTGAAGAAGTGTCTCTTCACCTGTAATCAATAACCCCTGACGGTAATATTGTGAAGAAATATCTCTTCACCTGTAATCAATAACCTCTGACGGTAATATTGTGAAGAAGTGTCTCTTCACCTGTAATCAATAACCCCTGACGGTAATATTGTGAAGAAATGTCTCTTCACCTGTAATCAATAACCTCTGACGGTAATATTGTGAAGAAGTGTCTCTTCACCTGTAATCAATAACCTCTGACGGTAATATTGTGAAGAAGTGTCTCTTCACCTGTAATCAATAACCTCTGACGGTAATATTGTGAAGAAGTATCTATTCACCTTAATCAACACCTCTGAAGGTGATATTGAGAAGAAGTGTCTCTTCACCTGTAATCAATAACCTTTGACGGTAATATTGTGAAGAAGTGTCTCTTCACCTGTAATCAATAACCCCTGACGGTAATATTGTGAAGAAATGTCTCTTCACCTGTAATCAATAACCCCTGACGGTAATATTGTGAAGAAATGTCTCTTCACCTGTAATCAATAACCTCTGATGGTAATATTGTGAAGAAGTGTCTCTTCACCTGTAATCAATAACCTCTGATGGTAATATTGTGAAGAAGTGTCTCTTCACCTGTAATCAATAACCTTTGACGGTAATATTGTGAAGAAGTATCTCTTCACCTGTAATCAATAACCTCTGACGGTAATATTGTGAAGAAGTTTCTCTTCACCTGTAATCAATAACCTCTGACGGTGATATTGTAAAGAAGTTTCTCTTCACCTGTAATCAATAACCTCTGACGGTAATATTGTGAAAAAGTTTCATTTCAGTTTGTGGTATCTTCAAGATGAGGTAAAAGGAATTTGTCAATTTATTTCCATCTTATAGTGTCATTAAGTACAGTACAGTAGATGTACTATTTTCTTAAAATTTGTTTTGTACATTTCAATACTATTAAATGTTTCATAATGTTAAAGAGGAATCCTATTCCATTTATTAGTCTGTTGCAAGTTTTAGAATAAAAATTAAAAAGTAACAAAATGTAAAAAATACTTTTTTTCCAAATTTTCAAATTCAGGTAAAAAATTGCCAAAAAAATATGTTTAAATTTTAAAATAAATTGGAATGAAGGACTAGTGTGTGTATTGGGAAGATGGATTTTTAATTGGAGAAAGCAAAAGTAAATGAATCTGTATTAGAAAATCTGCTCATTTTTTGTTCTAAATTAAGATCTTGTGAAATTATAATTTTTGTTGATGACCAGGTGCCATCAAAAACGGTTACTTTCTTTAGATTTTTTGTCTTTTAGTTGTTCAAGGGAACGATACAAATTCTGGATACCTTTCTCATACTACTTTGCTGATGGATAGTAATAACTAACGACCAGTAAAATATAATAGGAGAGTAAAGTAAAACCATTTTCACACCACAGTCAAGTCAAAAGACTTTTGAGCCCCCACTTTCTAGTGTAGGCTTCTTTGTTTTAAGGGATTTAACGTTGCTATAGTGGGTTAAAGTGAAATGTTATATTTTCAACCCGTAAAAAATATATTTGAGTTTGATAAATTATATTTCTTTCTCAATTTTCTCAATTAAACACTTGTGCAGATACCTGACTTTTTATTTTATTTTTGTGTTCTTTCTGTGTCATTAGCATATTTTAAGTTTTCAATATTTATCCTAGGGATAAAAAAACTACTTCAGCACTTCTCTGCATTTGTAATCAGCTCTTTTCCTGTAGTATGATGGAAAATTAATTAATGTTTGATTAGGTGCATTAACAGTTTCTTTCAGAAAGTATAGACAGTTCTAGTATGGTATTTTTGAATAAGTGTAAAAAAAAAGTGCCTTTAATCTGAAATAGTTTTTAAAGTGTCCATTAATTGTTGTGTTTCACTCTGAAAGTTATATATGAGGCATGTTTTATAAGTAAGTACCGTTTTTAAATTGCTCCATTCCAGCGCCGCGATTGGCATTTTGGACACTTTCGCTGTATATGTACATCTATTGGCAAGCCCTAGCCGGAAATTCCACAACAATTGGCCGTGTTTACATCCGGTTTCGAGCATTCAAAATGGTGCCACCAATTGAGACTGCCGCCGACTGTGAAGTGCGCGCTGTAATTAGATTTTTAAGTGTTAAAGGTGTGAAAGCCATCAAAATTTATCGACAGATTAGTGAGGTGTATGGCCAGAACATTATGAGTGCCGGAATGGTACACAAGTGGGTATGGGCATCTAAAGACGGCTCCATCAACGTCCATCATGAGCAACGCACTGGGCGGCGTCACTGTCCCCAATACCCAATGCGTCGCTCATCATGAACCATTCTTCCACCACTCAGAATGTTCTCACCATACACCTCACTAATTTGGCAATACATTTCAATGGCTTTCACACTTAACAATCTAATTACAGCGCGCACTTCACAGTCGGCGGCAGTCTCAATTGGCGGCACTATTTTTAATGCTCGAAACTGGATGTAAACACGGCCGATTGTTGTTGAATTTCCGGCTACGGCTTGCCAATTGATGCACATACACAGCAAAAGTTTCCAAAACGCCATTTGCAGCGCTGGAACGGAGCAATTTAAAAACGGTACTTACTTAAAAAACGTGCCTCGTAATTGGTAATTTCAAGTCAGCTGCCAGGATAAAAGGAATATTAAATAGAACACATCCATTGGTGGAATGAAAAACTTTATTATATAAAGAAAAATTCAATCCATTAAGAGACTTTGGGAAAATTTTCCATTCCACATGGATGTGTTGGTTTGTAAAATAATAAAAAAAAACTAAGGGAGATTTTAGGAATAACCACAAGTTTAAAGTTCCTGGAAAGCCAACGATTTTGTGGAATAGAAAATTATCCCTCAGTCTTTACAAATGCAAAATAGATTTGTACTACAAAGACATATACTCTTAACAATCGCTTATACTATAAAAATTCAACACAGTAATATCTATATCTAAAAAAATCACTATGCCTATTCCTAATGTAAACTTTTTGTAAAAAACTACATATAAAAAAGGGATCATTGACCCAATAATGTCAGGCAGTAGATAGAATTGTCAACAAGTTTTATCTTATCTCTGTTATCTATTGAGATTGTTCAGTATAAGTTAAAATTGAAAGTAATTTTACAATATAAATCCAAAAAAATTACAATGCTTGACAAAAACATTGCTTATTGTTACTAACCAAAGATTTTGTAGGGAAAGAACTATAAAAGTCACCAAAAATGTTAGAAAGTTAACAAATGCAAAACATTAATTTCTATTCAGTAAAAAAAACTGTTTACCCTAAATAGCAGTAGCTCTACTCATTTTGTTGACTCTCACACCATTGGAAGTGGCACTGGCGTTACTAGAGACAGGCGAGGGTGTAGAGGCGCTGGGTAAAGGGGAGTTACGAGGAGAAGGGATAAGAGGAGGGGGAAGACCCTTAGTAGGTGATCTTGGAGGGGAGGTTTTTGGCAAAGGAGGTGGCTTGGAGAAGGTTGTACTTCTAGCAATAGGAAGAGTAGAAGGTGGAAGAGACTTTGGAAGCTCAGGAGGAGTATCTTCTTCAGTAGAAGACTGCGGAGGATTTGGACAAGGGTTAGACACAGGTCCAGAGGGTTTCAAGATGGAAGCATACTGTGAGGGTTCATTAGGAGTAGGTCTCGGTTGATCTAGTCGGCCACTCAAAGGTGATGAGAGAGAACTATTCGATTTACTCTTAAACACATCTTCATCATCAAAGTCCCAAATTTTATCCTCAAAATCAACATTTGGCTTTCCAGGAAGTGGTTCGTTAGTGTAATAAACCCCATCGTAAGCGATATCAGGGTCTTCCCTTCTGTTAGCGGGTGGGGCGGAAGGAGCAGACCTTTCCAAAGTCGCTTCTGTCCGTTTAGGAGTCACGCCCAACCCGCTGTCTGCATCAACTAAATTGGCTGCTGACTTGAGAGGGGTCGTTTCTGCTTTTGAAACTGAGGATCGTCGAGGTTTCTCGAGGGAGTTGAGGTAATTCCACGACGCTGAGGAACCTTCCCCTCGGATTTTACGCACAATCACGTTCACGACACAGCAAAGTATAATCAGCAATGGCAAGAATATCAGAAGGATTATGGCGGCAGTATTTAGAATAGTCTGGATGTCATACTCCACCATACCTGAATAGGAAATACATAAAATGTAAACTATTTATGGCAGAAATGATGTACAGGATTGACTTTAATGAATTGGAAACAAATTCTGCTGTAAAATACCTTTTCCAAACCAAACAATCATACAACAAACTATAACTCAATGTATTGCACAATATCAAAATTCTTTTAGCACACACCAACCATCTCCAGTGTTTGATTTTCCGGGGAACGCGGCGGAACGGTGTTCCGGTACCTCTCTTTCGGCAAGATAAAAATGTTGGCATAAATAGGTAATAATCACATTTAATAGGTTACAGTTCCGGCACCTCATTTTTTACAAATCATGCACTGACCATCACTGTATAAAAACCTAAATGAAAATAATAGAATTTCAATAGTGCAATGTGATGCTCATTTACCTATGTTCTTTTACAGTAAAAAAATTGCTAAAGCCTCCAAACAGATGACATTGTCTACTTTAGTATCAAAGTATTTCATGATACTTAATCATGATGGGTTTCAATACTATATAAATTTCTTAAATATTCACTGTACTTGAAGATAGAATCGTAATTTCTTATTCTTTCTTTGGATCTCTCCAAACCCACAGGCCCTAAAAGAGTTAATAATAGAAAAAAATACTTTGAAAACCAAACATTTAACTTACGTAAGCACTCAGTGTACCCGTAGATTGGTACATCCCATTGTCCCTGTGCTGTGCAAGTTCTTCTCTGGTCTCCAACGAGGACAAAATCCTGGTTACATTCAAAGGTGACTTTGGTGCCAGGAGTGAAGAAGAAGTTACTCTTTCTGCCAAACCTTGGTGTTTCCAGGATACCACATGTTATTACTGAAAAACCAATTAATGTAAAGATCCATCAACTGCAGCTGAATTACAGGGAAGCTACATAAACATTGTTTAAAATAAAACAATTTTACCAAATTCTTTTCCTTTGATATCTACATTGCTTCATTTTAGTTTACTTCTTGAAACATTTTCACCCACAAGAAAAAGTGTTAAGGAATTTGCCGTTTAGTTTGATTAAAACCTTAAACCTTGAAAAATTTACAAAACCTTGCTAAACATAATATAAACCAAGCCAACGATTGTATCTAGTGGATCTAATTGCAAGTTAAGACTAATTAGACGGAAGTAGTAAAAATAAGAGAAAAACCAGTATTATTCTGACAAAACGGTAACAAATTGTAGTTCAAATTACTGACATATTTTTTCAGTTAAATCAGCCCAAACAATGTTAAAAAAACTATAGTGAAATGTTCAATATTGTGGCACAATAATTAACACACATAAATTTTAATAACAATTTTTAATTCATCGGGTTTTTTTCTCCAAAAAGAATTCTTTATGATTATTGGCTGCATTTTGGGAGACGGACAGCGGCCCAGATCTTTGTTTTGGTTAATCCCCTGATTTATGGCCTGAGGGTGGTGGTCACCGGAGGAGGGGTGGGGAATCAAGACTTCTGAATCCCACCGGAGGCGTAAACTTTTTGTCGAAGATTTCGCTTGGAATGCGATTACTTCATAACTGTACATCTTTTGTTAGAATTTATAATTTTATGATCAGAACTATTTTTTGATTAGTAAACCGTTATTAGATTTTTTCATTATCAGCAAGTTTGGTTGGTTTGGTTAGGTTATGATAGTTTAATTTTATAATTAAAACTGAAAAAATTGAATTGTTGGCATTTGTAATTTTATTTTATGAACAGAACAATTTTTTTTTTTTTTTGTAAATCTTTATTCAATTTTTTATTATCAGCAAGTTTGGTTAGTTTGGTTAGGTTATGACAGTTAAATTAAATTTAAATTTAACCTACAAACGACTCGTTCTGATCGCGACGATGCACGGTATGATGCGGAAGCGTTCGACACCAACCTAGAACTGACAGGTCAACCGACCGTGTAAGAGGATTACAGCCTGGTGCATGTGCCTACACCCGCTCAAGGGATAGAAAAAACGACTTCAGCTCTGCAACACATATTGTGATAACTGTTGTATACTCTGCTGTATAAAATAAAATGTTCAATCCCATACTTTTAAGAACAGAAAAAACAAAAGAATTGTTTCTGAAAAAGAGTTAAAGCATTATTTTTTCAAAACAATACCTCTTTGCTTGACGTTTCTTCTAATAGACAGGAAGTTGCCTTGATAGAGAAGACTGGTAGAGGCGAGTTCTTTGTTCAAAGACATGAAATAATCGTACTGACATTGGAAGGAGTCTCCACATAAAGCCTTAGCCTGCGCAGCATCTGCAGCCCTAAGAGAAATGATACATTAATCAGTTCTGTAGTTTGTAATCAGAAGAAATGTAAATTAATTTAAATTTAAAGAGTGATTTTTTGAGAATGGCCATACTAGATATTTCTAGACATTTTGCACAGCTGAACAGAAGGGTTTCTAAGTTTTGACCAGATTAGATAAACAAACAATATTTGTGGTTGCCAATGAACACGGAGTTACAGTAATTGAAAGTCTACATGCATAAGCCATTCATCATCCACTTAAAAGCTTCTAGCATCTATGAGCTCTCAAGAATAAGTCTTTACTTATGAACGCTACTGTATCTCTTAAGGAGGGCATGTCTTAGTTTGTTTTGCGCAATTGGATTTGGTAGGAACTTCCACATGGATTGTTTTGACAAGGACCTTCCGAAAGGATTGTTTTGTCAAGGACCTTTCAAATAAATTGTTTTGGCAAGGACCATCCGGATAGATCGTTTTGGCAATGACCTTCCGGATGGATTATTATGGCAAAGACATTCCAGATTCATCATTTTGAAAAGGACTTCCCAGATAGATTATTTTGGAAAAGAACTTTGAGAAGGAAGATTTTGACAAGCATCTTCCAGACAGATCGTTTTGGCAAGGACCTTTCAAATGGGTCATTGATGACCATCAAGGGGTTCTATTAGCAAAATATTCTTATAAGTATAATTTTCTACATCGGATATTCCAGGTGAAAAGTAGTAAATCGCTCAGATAAAGGGGAAAGGAAGTCAAAACATTTAATAGACTGGCTCACAGGCAAAAACTTCCAAACACCTACATGGCAGTTCCGGCTCTGCTAGAGACTTTTCATGTCATTTAAAACATTCTAAACAATTAAGCTTTATAAAGATAACTGTAAGTATAAAGACTGCTGTTCTTTACCTTGGGTCATAGGTCTGTACACTGGTGCTGTACATGTTAGTCAACACTGAGGACATGTCTGGTAAGAAGGCTGGATCAGAGTAGTAGCTGGCGGACCTCGTGTACTCGTGGACAAACAAAGATCCTCCTACACTCTGCTTCTCCTTGTCTTCTAGTCTCCCTGTAAAAAAGTATAAACCAAAAAATTTAGTTTTTGTTGAATTATTGATTAAAATTATTAAAGACACCACTATACTATAGTGTGTACTAAGGTGAATATGGGTGAACAATAAGTGTTAAATGAGTGTCATTACAGCATTGTTACTGACTAGATTAGCTGGTTCTTTTGTCAGGATCATTTATTAAAAGCCCAATGATCAAGGAGAGCTGGGTTCAGTTTCAAACCAATATATGGATTTTGATTTTTCTTAGGATTGAACAGAGAATCTTTTAAATATCTGAGCACTATTAAGCTACCTAACTATTAAGAGTTATAAGATAATCAGACATATACTAAAAGAAAAGAATCAAACCTGAAACGGAAAGGTGGAAGGAAGAAGATCCAGGAGAAAACCAAGAACTAGATTGTTTCAACAAGATATGAGACACTTGGGAATTCAAGAAGATGCTGAGGACAGAGAGAGATGGAGGTGATGTGTTGTTGAGGCAAAGTACCCACTGGGGTACAAATGGCCATTGCAGTAAGTAAGATAATCAGACATGCTCCTGGTTCCTTGAATACTGGACTGTTAATAGTTAACTGTATCATGATGTCCTTCTTTAATAAAATGATAATTATTAAATAACTTACAGGAGTTGGCGAACTGGTAGACTCCCTGGAAGGACGTTGCTGGTTGTTTGTTGCTGAACCCAGGACCCCAGGTGACAGGGTATGAGATATTCTGGGAGTCTGTCAAGTCATCTGCTGGATTAAAATCCCACACTCCAAACAGACCCGACGTTTGACCCTGTGAGAAATGTATATTGTACTAGTTACTCTGCCCGTGCTTCGCTACGGGGTGAGAATGCAGAAAAGAATAATTTGGTTTCACTTTAAGATACTATAATATAGGCTACTATAAGGAACAGGTACAACACACTTACCAGGAAACATATAGGCAAAGGCTCAATCCTGCTTATTGAATATTTTAATTAAGATATCATAATGTATTACAGTACTATCATTTTATATAGTTTATAGCATTTAAAATATATGCAAAAGTATAATTCATTGACCACGTGGCACCAAGAAACAATTCTCCTTGTATACAAATTAAATAGCAGAACAGCATTTCTGACAACAGCTGGAGTTTCACAACAATGTTCGTTTCCCATGTTAATCTTATTGAGAAATACGAAACTTTAAAGGGCCCTCAGGCCTCAATCTCTAATTTTTTTCCTAAAAAGAAAGTTTCCTGCACAACTTCACGTTACGCTCTTTCCAATGACACCAAAAACTTTTCAATCGTTCCAGTAGTTTCGGAGGAGTAATTGTCACAAAAAACCTGCTTGCGTATTAAAAAAGTAATAGATTATGGCATGAAAATCATTAGTTTCATGATTACTTCGATGTAAAACTAATCGTGGTAAAGTATGAACAAGATATATTTTTCACAAGACATATTATGTTTCTTACTTATCCAATAATTCCATGGCACTCCTTTTGAGTGAACCCTATAAAACTTTGGACATTAGTATATAAGTAACCTCCACAATCATCTATTGGAGGTATCAAAAAGTTTCCAAGAAACAGTATTAAGAATGCAGTTTCAAAAATTTCAATCTCAATAACCATAAGTCGAAAGTACACACACATATTTACTGCCCACTATCTTAGGTGTGCCTTTTCCACAAAGTTTTTCAACAGACATGTGAACTTCTTAAGAGTTGCACAACAGACTTTGACCTGGATGAAGGGTGAACCTCTCAATAATATTTGTAAGAGAATGTTTTGATATGTTACTTATGATGGCCAATATAACAGCCTTTGGTACTTAAAGGATAAACAAAAACTATTATCTATGAACAATCTTACAATGAACGTCCAGGGAAGGTAGACTCTGGCTGCCATGTAGCCTTTGTTTTCTATGATCTCCACTCCAGCTCCTGACTGAAACATGATCACAATCTGCGACTGGTTGAGGATGTAGGACGGCTGGTAAACAGTCACTCCTGGAAAAAAGAATAACACTTTGCTGATGCAGTTGAATCATTGCCTGAACACAGTGTTAAGGAATATTGTCATTATGAAAGAATTTCTATTGTCAGAAGTAATAGGAGTCAGTGTGAAGGGCCCCAGTAATATTATCGGATGGGGGAGGACATTATATCTTCAGAAGGGTTGAGAGCTACTTCTGCCATGCTGACTAAATATTGGATACATTTGATAATAATTTAACAGCCCAAAAGGAAAGATGGATTTTTTCAATGAGAATGGTGAAAAACATCTGGCGCACCCAAAACGAAATTGGTCTCTAAATCCAGCTTGCCCAATTAAGCTTTGACATAAAAACTTTGAACTATTGAATAAGTAATTTGTATTGTGAATTCTAAACAAATCTTTCAAAAGTATCTGAAAACAAGATGGCAAGTGGTTGATTTATGGTCCAGATAAATTTAATCACACACAATGTGTAGCTCTGTTAGTGACTAAAACGAGCTATTTACTTAGCTGGGGAGATCAGTTATTAAAAAAAATATCAAGAACACCTTAGTTCAGTTCGAGTTTGTGTCAATTCCTGGAGATAAACTTTTTGCAATGATTTACATAAATTTTTACTTTACTTAAACTTTACTTTATTTAAACTTTTTACTTTTTACATAAATTCTGTACAGGAACAGCAGCTCCTCACATGAAAAAAGAGCCAATAGACTACTTCCTCACTTAATATTGTCAAATGATGCCAAATAGTGACTACAAAACTATAATTTAATGGAGTTCATGAGTTCATTTAACACTTATCAAAATCTTCTTACAACAGTGTTTGATCATTATTTATAAATTAAATTAGTTGGCAGTCTGTTACAACACTCTTACCCGGAAAGTGCTGTACTCTCAGGGAAGGTCTGTCAAAGTAGACTCGTTTCTTGTTGGCGAAGACGTCCATTCTGTACCTCCACTGAGCTATGCTCGGTCTAAGTCTCACCTCGATAACTGCTGAAGTGTTGTCTTGGGCTGTGGAAAGTAACATTTCCTTGATTGGTGATCGTTTGAAGTAATACTAAGATATTTTTCTGAACCCTAACCGACTCCTCAAGATATGCTACCTAGTGTCTGACCGTCTTATTTGTTTCCTATCTGAAGCGATAACACCAAGAGCGATCAGATCGGTTAACCGAGAGGTCGATTGCGGATGCAATGGTAATGGTCACAGGAGACAATTACCAATGACACGGAGACTGCAGGTTACGCTCCTCCTGATGTCTGACCTTTTGGCCGTTCATGATGATCCGACCATGGTCCCCCATGGGGATTGCATCATAATGATCAATTAGTGTAAAGATAATGTACCATGAAAAATGTAGAGGAGCGTTCTCTACAATAACAAAGTTTACAACAAATAAATGAAAATTAAATACATTCTTACCAGCAATAGAAGTGAGCTGGGTCGCATTGACTGGGCCATAGAAGTTGTTGGGGAGCTGTTCAAATCTTCCTTGAACATCAAACTTGGCCTTTGAGGAGTTAACGTGCACTAAAACATATTCTCCTTTCCCGTTGAAAGTGTATTCCAGCTCGTCAAACGTGATTATGTGAGGATCACCGAACACCGTGGCTGCAACATTGGAGAAAAACAGATTGACTTAACTGTTTAATAAAGTGGATTACAGTTCTATCTCTATCTACACTTTAACTCCATGGATTACTCAGTGACTTGATTATACCTATTTCCATCATGATCTCAAAATGGGGTCTTCTTTAGACTCATGTGAAAAAAATAAAATACTCAATGAAGACAATTTCTTTGTTCCTTATTCTGATTGTTGTAACACTAAATGTTGCAATTTTTTTTTTAAACAGTTCATTACACTCATAGTTTTTGCGTCATTTCACTTAATGGTGCGATAATCTGTGGAAATTCATATTGTACAAGGAATGATGTCTTACCCTCTAGAAAAGAATCATACAAACTTCATCACATGGAAGAAAGTTAACTTTTTTTCTTTTTTTCATAGTGTGCTACAGTGCTGAATTCTTTTTTTGATAGGAATAAAAGGTGCTATGTTTACAAAAAGTTTTCCTTTTAGTTTAGCTTAGTTTAAAAGTAGGCATATTCGAAAGGAACTTGTGTTCTAATAAATTAAAATTGAAAGTAGCTCACTCTGTCTGAAGTTCGATCAATTTAACTATGTAGCCTATATTTCCACTCTGAAACTGTATTAAACTATAACATGAGAACGGGGTGTCTACACATATATCAATAGTCAAAGCTATGACTTAGTTAACGTTCATCAAGGGATAGATTTTTTAAATTGAGTTTTAGTTAGGCATTTGACCCATGAGCGGAACAAAATCAAATTTTTACCCTGAAGAGGCAGGATGTTTTTGGTTCCGCAAAACATCAAACTTGATCTCCAGGACGATTGTGTGTATGTGTGTATGTGATTGTGTGTATATGACGAGGCCTGGATGTCACTAGACAATAATAAAAGTGAGTGAAGCCCACAAAATGTAAAAAAAATTGATTAGCTACCTTTAAAATTTAAAATTAATTAAATTAAATTAAAACTTTTACAATATTATCGTAATCTTACCAACATAGGGTGGTTGGTAAGCGACACAGTCCTGGGACGGCCTTCGTTCAAAGCGGTAAGTCTCACAACCCACGGCCTGTTCCTCCTGCCACTTGCAGCAGAAGTAGAACGGGCTGATGTCGTGGAACCACTGTGATAGCGTCGGCACCTTGGAGATATAAATGTTTAAGTAAAGATAGGGGTTGGATGTTAAATAAAGCAAAGGCGTTTGAACATGTATGAATAGGCTGGAACTGCCTGTATTGTCAAGTGGATAGTGTTTGTTGCTCGCCCTCAAAGCTGAAGGTTGCTCTGGTTCAATTCTGGTCAGAATCAATTCTGATGACATTCATCTCTGCGCTATCAACAAACTATGCTATGAATATTAAGGTTTGGACTGTTCTTTTAAAATGCCAAGAAACATAAAAAAGCCAACATCGTGATAAAAACTTGATTGATATTTCAACATTGGTTTGTTCTGAAGCCTTTTTGTGAACCAATCAGCTTCTTGAGTCTACATTTCTCATGTTGGCTAGCAAAACTCTTATCTCAAAAAAAGAAAACTAAAGCAGCAACAGATTGTCTTTAAGATGTACGCCTAATCATTATGAATCTTATCTTACCTTGTTAGCTTCGTTCCAAGGCAGATATCCTAAGTTGTGAGATCTCCTAGGCTTGGACCCCCATTGCTGATCATACGACAACATCAGGTAGAAATTCTTGTCATAACAACACTGTTGTTCAGACCCCTCCAAGCTGCAATGAGAGGTGTTTCAATATAATTTTGATAAGAATAAGCTTTCGGAAACAGAAAATTCAGTTTCCCATTAGTGATATCTTAGTAAAATAAAATGGCAAGCTATTTCATAGAACCTATAACGAACAGGAAGGTTCAATATCAACATTTTTTTTATCAAAACTATAATTTTAAAACCAATTTTCTAAAAGGTACTGAACCACTGTAAATAGGACATTACATTGTGAATGAATGAATGAATGAATGAATGAATTATGAATTTATTCCACCACATATATAAAAATTACACAACCAAATGTACAAAAGAAAAAAGTTCTTTATGCAAAACTAAACTAACTAACTATAACTAATTGTTGTATAACTAATTGTTACTATAACATTTCAAACAATCATTTCAAAAACATATACATGTTCAGTATTTAATGTGTTTGTTATGAAATACAAAATGTTGTTTAATATCACAATAATATTTTATTCTATAATACTATAATTACATTGAAGTATTTATCCAAGCGTTTGGGTGAGCGATTCTGATCTAGTGCTGGAGCGTAGGACTTTGCTCCGTCAGGTCCCAGTTTCAAATACTGCCAACCACCAATGGATTAGATCTAATTTATAAAAAACTAGCTGGCCCGACAGACGTCGTCCTGTCCTAATGTGGTTTTATGTCAAATGCTCGTTTATTTTCAAGATGAGCTCGTTCGCATGGCTCAATCACGTCCTGGTTGAAGTTCGTTCGCTACGCTCACTCACTTTTCGGTTGGAGCTCGTTCGCTACGCTAACTCTCCTCCAGGTTGAAGTTTGTTTGCTACGCTCACTCACATTTTGGTTGCAAATTAGTTGTTGTCATAAATTAAAAAAAAAATAATAATAATGCTGCACCCTGTTGGTACACCTATTGACTTTTTAGTGCTATTGATCATCGCAGAATCAAATTGTTTAGTTGAACCAGCTGTTAAAATTCTATAATTCTATTTAAATATGAGTACTCATAAGGTTAACATGGGAAACTCCAGAGCCACCATGGCGGAGCCCTTTCAACGGGACTACACTAAACTTCACACAAACCATCCTTGAATAATGCTTAATAATGCCTGAAAGTTTCATTACAATCTGTCGAGCGGTTCGGAGTCCATAAAGGACAAACAAACAAACGAACAAACATACATTGGATTTTATATATATAGAAGAAGATTAACTTACTAGCCTGAAGTAATGTGTAAGACTGTTCCAGTCTAGAGCCTACCTTATACAATGTGAAGGCGGGGCAAAAAAATACCATACATTATACGGTAATAAAATACCTTCTCACCTTGGAGACCCAGTTTTGACGCAGTGGACGGCTCCCTTGTTATACTGGCACTTGGGGTTGCGGTCAATGTCACAGTCAAAGTCAGGCATGAACCTCCCCTTGTCCACCAATGCTTGACCCAGAGTGCATGGGCACTGGGCGACCTCAGCCGCAAAGTTCTTGAGATAACGGTCGTCCATGAGCCACTTATCGCAGATCGCACTCGCCCAGCTGTTTCCGTAGAGTCGCTGCCACTGGGGCGCAAAGTACCACCCCAGCGGGATAGGTCGGCTCCACAACACTCTGCCATCAGATTCAAGTTTTTATTCACGATACTTGCAAAACGTTTGCAGATTTAAATATACTACGACTTGTTCAGATAAAAAATATTAGTTTTCAACAACTAATTCAAATTCTTTTATTTTATTTTTGAAATAAGAAGAAATAGATATAAAGCATTTAATTGTTTTTGACACGGTCATTGTACAAAGAACATGAATCTATAGAAATTAAAGTATAAACAGTTAATGTCAAAATCACAGGGCCAGAAATATTGAAGGTAGCACTGACACTGAACTCTGTTAGAAAATTGAGACACTGTAATTTTGTTAAGTTGCTACCAACTAGGGGAATCAGCACATTGCTCATTGCTTTATGTGTGTGCAATCCCACAATCCACTAGTTCAAGTAGGCCTACAATGTATTTTATTATATCTTAGAACAAATTGTGGCCAATGTCTCACAATTCTCTCATTCAGTGCTACCTCCAGTTGTATCTCTAGCTAAGTTGTCAAAACACACTTTAAATAAGTACACCAGCCAGAAGCATAACTTCAAATTGTCCTCAGCTGATCCAAAATGGTAAATGTTTAAGCAGTGTGTTTAGATCTATGGTTTACTGTATTTATTTGAAATTTAACAGTTTTTGCTGTTTTTTTGTCTGACTTACGGAGTTATGAGAGGCATCCCGTTAGACTGGGAAGAATCCTGAGGGATCAGCTGGATCTTGATGAACCCAAAGCGGATGTCACTAGTCATGTAGTTATTCCTGTTTTTGTAGTCGCTGGGAATGATTGTGTAGAGTCCAGAGTTTGGTACGTTCATCTGTTGATATATAATTGTTATCAAAGTTTTACTACTGATGGTAACTATATGGTTTACTGAGTCATTTGTTTCATTTGAAACTTCAAACAAGCATTTCATGGCAAACTGAGATTGTGGCGAAACATCTTACTCACAAGGACTCAGGCTACAACAACAAAGGTAAATCTTAATTAATTCAAGTTCTATAAACTGGGATCACAAAAAAATCTAGATGAGCCTTGGCAAATATAATCATCCTTTTTTATGAGTAAACAAGATTTGCTTTCCTTTGACAATCTCAAAAAATTACATGATGCCTCTGGATCAAGATAATGCAAAATATAAAAGGTTTTATTTACCTGTTGCGTCAATTGATCCTTGTGTACACATGAGAATCAATTGACACAACAGGTAAATTAAACCTTGTATATTTTTCAAAAAATTAGTCTGTAATTCACAATTGGAACTAATAAAATAAACAGTTACCTTGTTCAATATCCTTTGGTGCAATTAGATGACGACCGGTTTCGTGACGACAATCACATCATCGGGTCAATCCTCCGCGGCCGGCTCGACATAAGCGTGCACACATCGCGATGGTTTCTGTGTGTAAATATTTTGTAAATATAATGTGTTTTCGTCTTGTGTTCGGTAAAAACTTTACGTATTTATTATAACGAATCGTTCTACGAGGATTGACCCGATGATGTGATTGTCGTCACGATACCGGTCATCATCTAATTGCACCAAAGGATATTGAACAAGGTAACTGTTTATTTTATTAGTAAAATTTTCAATATCCAGTAGTAGGAAAATGAACTCTGAACAATTGGAACATTGAAGTGTGAAATAAGTATGATACTGCACTGCAATTATATAAAATTTTACTGTATTACTAATTAATTGAAGAGCAAATTACTCAAACCTACCTGGAGGACATCTATCAAGACCAGTTCTGGTCGTATGGTCGTCTCTCTGTATCCCCACAAGGTGATGTTAACATTGCTGTTCATGTTGAGAGTCAAGTTACGGGCGTCCCACCGCATCGGGATACTGTCCGGCCATGGGTCGTGAATGTTGTCGGTGTCAAAGAATACGTACTGAGTAGCGGTGGCTGGGGTCTCTGTAAACAGGTTGAGATTGTCAGTACAGTAACTATTGTTATGAAGTTTTCTTAAAAAAGTCTAAACAGTCAAGAGAAAATTTGGTTTTTGTATAACAATGGCTATGTCTAATATATTTGGAACCAAGAGCCCCGCTGGAAATTCTTTCAGGAACGAGGGCAAACCGGAAGCTTGTTTCATTGGTTAATTAAAAATATCTGAGGCTAGTTGACTGTGTCAATTTGTTAAAAGCTTATAGAAAGCACAAAAAACGTATGCAAAAATCATTAGGTTCTGTCCCTATGATACCAAATTAGCTCCCTAACTCAAGTTAAATGCTTCTTCCGGGTCTTAAGAACCCATCAACCCAGCTGGTGATGTTTGTAAAAGGCAATCATTTACTTATTATCTGAGTTTCATTATCATCCTCACAATCACATGACGGAGTTTTATTGATGATTCTTATAATAAAACTTTGCACCTTTGTGCTCTTTAGATTATCTAAAGATTAACTCACAAATTAAAATAACACAAATTAAAAGTATACAAAATCAAACTTACCAACAAAGAAATTTCCTTTCCAATTGTAAGCTCCGCCATCTATAGATATATCAAGCTTGACGTAGCCTTCTGCCATGACAAACGGCATCACACAAACTGCTCGGTTGGGCCACAGCGACGTATCTACAAAACCATCTACTCCTTCCGTGTCAAACCTGCAATAGATTAGAAGGTAAGAAGACATGAATAAAAAATGTAAACTTCTGTGAGAGTTTAAACTGGACTCAGCTTTCCTTGATCATTAGAATGATTATGGCTAAAGAAATAGCTGATCTTATTCAACATCAATGCTACACAAGGCATCCCATTCCAATATAATCTCATATTCAGGATAAAGTACTTGTAGTACAAACCTGCACTTGATCTTCATCCCAGGGAGGAAGCAAGGTCCTGTGATGTTGATGGCAGTTCCTCCCAACATGTTGGCACTCTCCGGAGCAAACACAAGATTCAGGTTAGCTCCAGCTGATGACAAAGGGGATGAGTTTTATTCCAGGATAATATGTAAAAGATAAAAATCAGCACTAAAACTATCTTTCTTGCCTTGTCAGTTTATGAATGATTTGATCATAACCTCATCTCATGGACACAAATAAATCAAATTTATCATAAAACCAGTTTTTAGTGGAAACACACACAGTACCTAATGATAAGTGACAAAATTATTGATTTGAGATACTTTCAATTTCAATTTCAATATTTGTCATGAGAGCCGAAGCCCCCTGACTACATACCCGGTACCTATCGTGAGACTTACCCGGGCCCCATGATGTAGGCCGAAGCTTACGCATCAACCTTTTGCACATCATGGGCGGATGACTTAAGGTCATCAGGCTCGCCGGCTGCCGAAGCAGACCCTTCGGAAAGAGGGTTGCCCCTCAATCCTAACCAGGGTTTCCGGCTACTTGTTTAAGCGTCACTCCACCTGGGTTCCACTAGGTCGGGACCTAGAGGACCATAGTAGAGCGCCCCGACGCATTTAGTGCAAGCAACACTCGGGACCTATCTAATCCCTGACAGGCAAACCCGCCATCAATAGCCAGAAGGAAGGGGACCGTCAGCAAGCTGACGGGGGGAACCCCAACCTCCCATTTACACCACTACCCGATCGAGGCCTTACCCAGTTGCTGGGAAACCAGAGATAACCAGAGCGATAGATCCCCGGATACCTCTGGCGGGCTCGGACCCAGCACCCGATCTACTTCGTTTGCCCGTCAGACCCAACATCACTGCCAGGTCATCGGGGTTTCCCAAAAGGAGGCAGGTATAGAAGTGGGACCCACCCGGATGAACCTATCCACCAAAGGTGGCGACATCCTTGACTCAATTGAGGTTCCGGGAAGAACCCCCCACACTCAAGATAACCATACCGTCCGTGATCAGAGACAGGGATTGGTTTGCATAAGTGCCTACAAACCGTTGCCCTCACACTGCGGAAAGTTACGTTTCCCTTGAGTGTCCCCATGAGCTAAGGGTACTTGCCCGTTTTCACCTCCAGGAAAGGCTACTTCCAAAGTCGAGGATATGCCACTCTGAATGCTGGTCGCACACAACAAGCAGGCCGAAGCCCAAAGAACCACAGACACAGGTAGGTTAGAGATTATGATGCACTTCCATCTCTCCTAGAGCTAAACACCCCCCCTATCCTGGATGAAGGGATGTCACTGGGACACAATGCCCAGTCGTCCATGTCTGTGGCCTACTTGAAATGCCGATTCCAACACCGGACAGTTGCCTCCCCTTTGGGGGCTAAGTTTTTCACCTCCCAGGACGAGGCTACTTCCAAAGTCGAGGATATGCCTCACAAAGTGTCAGTCGAACACAACAGGTAGGACGAGCCCGAAGAACTCAAGTCACAACCACAAGCTACAGGCAGGTGAAAGATCTATGAACTTAATCAACACTAGCAGAGCTGAACACCCCACCACCCTGAATGGAGGAAATGTCACTGGGAACTCTCACTTTGGGTACAACCCAAAGAGGCTGGCTTGCCCAGTCGTCCATAGCTTGTGGCCTACCTGAAGTGCCGGTTCCAACACCGGGCAATTACCTCCCCTCTGGGAGAGCTAGGGTCCGCGTGGTCGCCAGGCCACGTACCCACGCAAGCGTGGGCCCCCTGCGGGTCCATGGATTTGAGATACTACTCATGAAGAATCCAGCTATTCCGTAAACTTCTGACTCAGACACTCAACATTTATTTTATTTTAGCATCTCCTAACAAGCTCTGCCACTGGTGAACTCATCATAAGTTAAACAAGAGACCTGGTCAAGGGATTTGAACCCTCAATATAGGGTATATAGGGTATATCTCTTCATATTTGAATTTTTGCATATACTTGCTGTTCTTAATGTATAGATTTGTTTCTATTGAGAATGAAGGATTTTTATTTTTTTGTATAAAACCGATATTAATTGTTGATTATACAGGGTGTCCCTCGAGAGGTGTCTCAAATCGATTACTGGAAAACGGCTTAACGTACAAGGATGAAATAAAATTATTTCCAACTAAATCGACCCCAAGGAATAACGTAAAAATATTTTTAACTTTTTTCAAATACAGGGTGTGCCAAAAACTGAGGGTCACTAGTTCGAATCTCGGAATTTTCAAACGTAAACATATGTCATGTTATACATCATTTTAAAGGTATGTGATAGACAAACATTTTGGCGAAAACCAAAATTAGTTATCTTTTTCCGTTTCAAAATGGCGGCAGTTTTTTTGAAAGAAATCTAAATTTTTTTAATACTCCGTATTTCCTATACCAATGCATTTAGCACTTCTCCGGTTGCATTTTCTTACTCGTTATGAAATTAGCTTTACTGTGATATGCAACAAGTAACGGTTTTTTGAAATAATAAAAATTCAAAAAAAATTTATTTTTGAAAATTTGCATATGCTCATTGTTCAAAATTTTCAAATAGCAACATATGTCAAGTGGCACATCATTTTATAGGTTTTTCAATTCCTAACAACTTTGTAATTTACACTTACTTCGTATCTCTTTTAGTTTTTGTGTAAATAACAAAAAACCTAATTTTCCTATATCAAATGCATGTTATTTGGGTTTGACATGGTTCAACACTAAATGAAATGAAGCCTTTAGTGTCAAACCCAAATAACATGCATTTGATATAGGAAAATTAGGTTTTTTGTTATTTACACAAAAACTAAAAGAGATACGAAGTAAGTGTAAATTACAAAGTTGTTAGGAATTGAAAAACCTATAAAATGATGTGCCACTTGACATATGTTGCTATTTGAAAATTTTGAACAATGAGCATATGCAAATTTTCAAAAATAAATTTTTTTTGAATTTTTATTATTTCAAAAAACCGTTACTTGTTGCATATCACAGTAAAGCTAATTTCATAACGAGTAAGAAAATGCAACCGGAGAAGTGCTAAATGCATTGGTATAGGAAATACGGAGTATTAAAAAAATTTAGATTTCTTTCAAAAAAACTGCCGCCATTTTGAAACGGAAAAAGATAACTAATTTTGGTTTTCGCCAAAATGTTTGTCTATCAAATACCTTTAAAATGATGTATAACATGACATATGTTTACATTTGAAAATTCCGAGATTCGAACTAGTGACCCTCAGTTTTTGGCACACCCTGTATTTGAAAAAAGTTAAAAATATTTTTACGTTATTCCTTGGGGTCGATTTAGTGGGAAATAATTTTATTTCATCCTTGTACGTTAAGCCGTTATCTCGTAATCAATTTGAGACACCTCTCGTGGGACACCCTGTATATGTTAAGATTTCTGTAAAACTATTTGTAGCCTATGTATTGAATGTATTGACTCTATTCATGTATGTACATACAGACCGAATAAAGATTATTGATTCTGATTCTGATTCTGAGGGTGTTGTCTCTGGCTGGATCGGGGACAGGCAATGCCTTAAGCCTTACACCAATGATCGTAGTAGTGTACCTCAACAACACTGGTCACCCAAAAGCCCAAACTGAGAAATTCTTAACCTTACTTCCAGAGCTTCCAGTCTGCATTACTTGTCAATTAAAGCTTTTAGTGTAGTTGTTATTGAGTTAAATTTGTTTGCTCTTGCTACTCTTATGCATTAAAACCTCATAAGGTTAAGAGAAAATCGTGAAAACAAACTTATCATTATGAGATTTAGAAAGAAGGGAAGAAGGAAATACCAAAGAAGATCAGCAATGGAAAACCAAAATACACTCGCCAAAATTAGGAAGACCGAAGCTGCGGAAAAAAAAGGATCTGCACAGAATGGGAGAATCTCGACCTAGCGGCAGACCAACAGCAGTGGAGGCATCTTGTTGCCTTGTTGGCAAGGCTTAAAACCTTCTTAGGTTTGAGTGGCCAAGGAGGTAAGGTAAGAGAAATAGTTCAAATCTGAGGGAATAGTCTACTGTAGGTAACTCACCGATATCCTTGTTGCAAGATCCTGGCAGGATGTTTTCATCTATCCTGAATATGTGTCTGCCAGTCATATTGTTGCCCCAACCTCTACTGATGAGGTCCCTCACTGCCGTGGACTGTGAGAATGGTTTGTACTCGTAACTGCGGGTACCGTTGCCAGCGTTGAATCCCACCTGAGACATTATTTGATGATTTGACCAATCAGCATTCGATTAACAAAATGTATTGAGCCAGTGACAGTTGTATACTGAAGTAGACATCCCATCTATGCTAACCAGCTCTCGCCAATTTTTTTTTAAGACAAATATAGTTGAATGAACCACTACCGAGTGCGCTACAGTCTAAAATTCTGTTTCCTCCCTTACCTTAGTTTTTGTTAGCCTACTGAAATAGAAATGAGGTAACATAAAATAATGCTGTGGCTTACAATAAGACATTCTATCAGTTTTACTTGATTAACCCTAGCAGTGGCCAATGTTAGAAGTGGGGAATGGCCAACCCATTTTGGCGATTTTGCAGACCTTTTTTTGAAAATTCGTAAAAATTCAACCGTACAAGTAAACCTAGCCAACCTCATATTCATTTTGTTCGGAAAGAACAGGAGAATCTAGAAATAGTAATATCATAATGATTTAGACAGTGTATTTTATCGGTAAGGTGAAAAAAATAAAAAAATTTGATTTTTTTTTTTAAAATTTCAAAAGCGGCCTCGGTATTTTTTTTCCTACGGATTTTTTATCGGAAATTCATTATATACATTTTGTAGACATTCTAATTCCCTACATAGAAATATATAACATGTTAGGAAAATATTTTTTTTATAAGTTTTTGGGGCGAAATATAATGACAAACGGAGAACCGAAAAAATTGAAAACCGTACCGTGCTAGTTTATGTTGTAAAAAGTTCTATAATATATGTGTATACTAATAATGATATATACATGTTTGTAAAGCTAATGAAGTAAGGAATAAAAAAAGTCATAAAGTTTATGGTAAAAATAATTTTTTACCTATAAACATACGTAGATAAAATAATGTTTTTATATTTTAGCGATTTCTCGAGAAAAAAAATTCACAGTATTTAGTATACAACTTTTGTACCAAATTTTTTTACTTCAAACCAACATAACAATCTTGTAGTGTATTCAATTACCTACATAAAAATGTATAACATGTTAGACATATTTTTTTTGTAGGTACGTAATAGGGACATAATAGGGCCTAATACAATAACCGCAAAACCGCAAATAAGTGTAAACTATAGCCTACAGTGTTTGTTTGTGTTGTGAAACATTATGTAGGCTGATGATATGTAGCCTACATATTTGTAAAGCTAATGAAGTAAGGAATCCAAAAAAGACATAAATATGATGGTAAAAAGTTATTTTCACCTATGATTGTGTATCAATTTGAGAGACCTTTTTGAATTTTTTGCGCATTTCGAGAAAATGGAGTGTACAGTATTTAGTAGCCTATATAATTTTTTGCCAAATTGTTTACACCCAAACCAATATAAACATGTTGTAGTGTATTCATTTACCTTTATAAAAATGTATAACATCTTGGGTAAATCATTATATAGCATATATAGCACCTCTGAATGTCAGAATCATTTTTGGACATGATGCTAACAAAATACAGGAGTAGGCCTATTTAGTATAGGCTATAACTTTTTTACAAAATTTTTTACCCCCAAACCATTATAAACATGTTGTAGTGTATTCATTTACCTTTATAAAAATGTATAACACCTTGGGTATATCATTATATAGCATAGCATGGCGAACTAAGGTCCGTCTCGTACAACAATCTCTGAATGTCAGAATCGTCATTTTAGGACATGATGCTAACAAAATATAACCTTTTATGAATACTATTTCACACAATTCAGTAATATTTATGCATAATAAAATGCATGAAGATTACTGTTATACACACACACAAACTTCACTAACACTAACACTACGAACTAATAACGTAATTAGTAATAAATCGCAGATAACACCAGAGCGAACACTCACGGCAACAACAAACAATGGCGAATACACAAGACAGCTGTAGCAGTAATGACTTACTTCCGTCGTCTACATGCGAGCATACAGAATTAACCCTGAGTGCAGGGCTGCCACTCTCTGAATCTAAATTTCTTCCTCTTCAAAATGATATACTATATGACTAGTAATAATAAATTACACTGTATGTAATTCGTATTTTCCACATCGTCACCTGGAGTCGATTGGCCATTTGTTAAAAATTTCGAAAACAGCTGTTTTCATAAAATCGTACCGGTTGTGCAATCAATATATCGTTATAAATATTACTACCACAATGAAGATAAAATCAATGGCTATCCAGTGGTACCACTCGCAACATCCTACGACGAAAATTACCCAAGCAGGGTAATGCCAAACAAGACGTGTTTTGCCAGTTCCCAAGTGTCGGCTGCAAAAGTCGTGCCGCGTCGAAAATTCATTTGATTTCTAATCGTCGTGACATTGTTATATACCTGCTACAGAGTTTGTTTATGTAATAAAATGAAAGTTCAGAATGTGATCTTTCGAATGGTATATATATTATTCTCATCTGAGTTGATTGTAAGTGTTTTTTTTACCGCTAAAAAATTTTCGGCCCAGATCGTCACAAGGAGTCGTTGGCCATTCTAAGCATCAACGTCAGATCGTCACCAGGAGTCGATCGGCCACTGCTAGGGTTAAAATGTTTGCGAACTCAACATAAATCAGTAATTTACTGCGCTCTGTCTGTGGCTTGGTTTGATACGTCCATTTTTATTAAAAAACTGACAACAACCTTCACATGGGAATGAAATGTCAACTTCAGACTATTGAAGATATAGTCATCACTGAGAAGTACCCAATAACACTCTGTAAAACAAAGACTGAGTTTGGAATACTTACAAACGCCGGTGTTCCCCCCTCCCCTCCAGTAGTGTCTCCCCCCGCCTCTGTGTGTGTCGTCCACTGAATGTCTCTGTAGTTGAACATGACGTAGCCAAACACTTCATCCGTGACCAACACCATTTGAAACGTGTTTGTCTGGAAATAAATAATTTGGATTTGATTTAAAGTTTCCAAACATATTTAAGGAAATACTTTACAAAATGTTGTGTTTGGATGTGTTGCTAGCCTAGTGGTTAGTGTCTCTGGCTTTGGTGCGAGAAGGATAGATTCAAAAACCGTAACTTGAGGGGTTGGACTAGTTTTCCCTTAAAAGCGTTCATAATTCTTCCATTCAAAATGCCACAAACACACAAAGTAAAAGATGGGAAAATAAACGTTTAATCTAATCAAATCTTTTACACAGTGAAGTAGGGCCATATTGGTTAATCTTGTCAACAAAATAAAAACTCAAATATTTACATTTTTTGCTCTATCTACATTTTTGTTTGTTTATGATTTAAAACAATTTGCAATTCTTTCACACAGCTGTTTTAATAAAACCAAAGAGCAGCTTTCCTTCTATAATCTATGGTGAATTCACATATGTTTTCAGTAGTAGATGTAAAGGTAACTCATTATTTTCTGTGTTTCTACCTGTTACGAAGAACATGTAAACCAACATAAACAATTTTTACCTTTTGTGCTCATCCAGCTAAAATATTATTGCAGGTATACCAACCTTGTATAGAGAGTTGTCGATTCCTCCAGCAAAAGAAACGTTCTTCCAAGTAATAATGGCCATGTGTTTAGGCTCAAAGTCTTGTGCTCCAACCACGCCAGAGCGAATGTCCCATTTGACTCTCTCTCTCATCTCTACGCCGTACCAGTCCTGACGTGCCTGAAGATCTCGCTCCATCCTGGTGCGGATAAAACATTAACATATTTCTGTAGTTTTATGGGTACAGTAAGCCCATCTTGTTAATGTTCATTTGGTTCAGACAACTAAACACATATGACTAACTATATTGTATTATCCTCAAATGAACATTATTATTTGTCTTTTTCATGTTTAAGAAGTTTTACCTGAAGTACACTCCAGGAGTTCTTTGATCCAAGTCAGTTGGGCGAATGGAACCGACTCTACATTTGCTGAAAAAGATTCCGATGAAGGCTGGATCATTCTTCTTGGGCCAATCTGATATAGGGAAGCTGAGAGGGTATGTGTAATGTTCCGGTGGATCACTGAACTCTACGTGGCCATGCATGGAGATCTAGAACAAAGTCATTATTAGTTCATTCCTTAACATAATGATAAGAAAGGTTTTAATAAATGATATTATGGAGTAAATTGTTTTAATAAAATGCAAAAGTTTACGTGAGGTCAAAATATTGCCTTTATTATGGCAAGAAGAATTAGATGATGGAGTGAGAAAGCCTCACAAGAGAACGAGCTATACATTTGGATGGCATGAAAAGAAAATTGTATGGAAGAATACTGATATACAGACAAGAAGATCTAAAATCTTAAGTTAGCAACAGAAAGGGTCAGATGGAAACAGTTCTACAGAAGATGGCCTTGAGTATTTTATAACATTTCCGGCGTATCGTTAAGGACCTCAGAGTGCTAACCAGTACGTGCACGAAACCCTTATTCTTCTTAAGGATAATTTGAGGACAGACGGTAGGAGAGCATAAACACATGAGCATAAAACCAGGATGAAGGCCTGAAACATTGAATACCCTCGCTGCTGTCTCAGCCATACCTTGAGTAGATATCCTCGGCAATTATAATCTATAACACTGCACCGACTCTAGTGCCAGAGATGGATGCTTCCTCTTTTAAGAAGGCGCTAAAAAAGACATTAGTCAAAATGTTGTTGTACTTCCAAAAAAATTAATTAGAAGATGAGTGTCGGTCTGCCGTAGACCTTTAGAGGCAAAGTTTTTAAGTATTTGTTTGTAAGTATTGCATACCAAAAAAATTTTAGTACATCCTACCATATCTGGCAACAATGGAGAAATCAAATATCAAGTAAGTTGTACTTACCCTTGTGTAGTTATAGCGGAATCCGAAGAAGGGTAGTTGGAAGTTGAGGTTCTTGTGGAGCTGTGGAGATGAAGCGTGAATGTCCTTCTGAAAGTCTCCGATACCGCTGTCTCCACCTTGGTCAAAGAAGGGGTAAAACATGTTGGCTCTGATGGCAGCCAGTCTCTCCGGCTTGAGGATGTAGGGGTAGGGGGCGGACTGGAGGTCAGGAGGGATCGGGGCGTTGGGCCACAGTTTGGAGGGCGGACCATTGCGGTAAGATGTCACATCTGGAACAGAATTACATCTTAGTCAAAGTTTGCTTTTTATTTTGAGTCCATTGCTCATGAGAAAAATGGAGAAAAGAAGTAATCCATCTTCTTAGAATCAAACCAGTAGCCTTCTGATTGCTTTGTTTTGCATATTGCTTGACTTAGCTGGGTTACTAAGTATTATACAGGGTGTCCCATAAGTAAACGGCCAAATTCCAGAAAATATTTCTATGATTCAAAATAAAGAAAAAATAATTTATAAATAAAAAACTTTTTAAACAAAACGTTTTTAAACGCCCTAAAAAGTAGAAAATAATTTACAAATAATTTATAAATATGTTGAGAGAGTATAAATACTTGTACGATTTAAAACGAAAAACGTTGGGTGCATGCAATTAATTGATAATATATTAGTTCAGTAGGTGAAGGTAAACTATCTATTGCATGCACCCCACGTTTTTCGTTTTAAATCGTACAAGTATTTATACTCTCTCAACATATTTATAAATTATTTGTAAATTATTTTTTACTTTTTAGGGCGTTTAAAAACGTTTTGTTTAAAAAGTTTTTTATTTATAAATTATTTTCTATTTTTTAGTTTTTTAATGCGTGAGGATGTTAAATCTATTTCAAGCATCTATATCAGATTAAGACAAAGGCATGTGGGAAATCTAAGGTTTATTTGAGTTTCTTTTCATATAATTATGTATTAGATTGAATGTATGGCCTACCTACTAACTATAAATATATCAATCTAGATAATTTATTGTTTACTTTATAGAACATTAAATAAATAACAATTTACATTATTAACAAACATCTTTATATCTGCAATCAGATTGTTTATCTATATTTTGAAATGTTTGTATAAAGAATCTCTTGGGAGCATAACCTGTACCTCTTAACCTCTGCTCTTTGAACTGTCAAATTTAAGTATTTACAGCTGACTTAAATTAATTGATATATTTATTTACATTCTTTCAAAATGTAAACATGAAAAATTTGGAAGCCCATGGGGCGTAGCCCAAGGGAAATATGAAAATTAAATGATATAATATTGCATTGTCATGCATTTGTGAGCTATGTTTCAAATTTCAAGTCTCTAGTTTATCGGGAACATCGTCTAAAATTGATATCAAAATTTGTAGGAAAGCGAGCTAATAAAAACAAGCCCATGGGGCGTAGCCCAAAAGGAAATATGAAAATTAAATTATATAATATTGCAATGTCATCCATTTGTGAGCTATGTTTCAAATTTCAAGTCTCTAGCTCATCGGGAAGTATCAAAATTTGCAAGAAATCGATTTAATAAAAACAAGCCCATGGGGCGTAGCCCAAGGGAAATGTGAAAATTAAATTGTATAATATTGCATTGTCATCCATTTGTGAGATATGTTTCAAGTTTCAAGTCCCTAGCTCATCGGGAAGTTAGTCTAAAATCGGTTGCAAAATTTGTAGCGGACAAGAAAGTGACCTAATAAAAACGTTTTAATAAAGAAATCTTTGTCCGAAATCCCTTCAACTAGATATTTACCATGTTGTATTTTTACCTCTTTTATACATATTTTATCTTTAGATTGTTTCAAACAGATCTTTTTGAAACTTGCAATGTATGTTAAGGTAAAAGAGACCTTTGTTAGAAAAAAATTACTTGATCACTTGATCCAATTCAAAATTTCAAAACAGTGTTCATTTATCGATTGTGTCCAACCCAAGGCCTTTGGCCACAGATATTTTAATCAGTTATTGTTTATACGTAATATAATTTTAAGATTAGGACGCCACCTAGGTGTGTATTTGATATCCTTTATACTACATGTATTAATCTGATGAAATTTAAACAATCTTGTAAAGTAATTTTCTTTTACTCAATAAATGATGAAACTCTGGTTCTCAGAGTTGTTATATCAGACAGATATTTACGTGTTGGTGAATCAGGATCAATGTTAGACACTTGAGGCCACACCTGCTGCTTATCTCTTATCATTAACTCTCCACATCATTGATAACAGCCAACCTGTATGTGTACAGACTTGACAAGAAAACTGTTTTGTTTTTGTAAATAAAAAATCCTTAGTTGAATTTAGCAAGCGAGGGTTTGCAATAAAGTTTAACGCATTTTATGAAGAAGCAATTCTTAAATTTAATCGAATAGATTATTGTCCTATGTTGGAAATAATTCTAAAACCTATAATGGTAATAAAAAATTTATCAAAACAACAAATTATGCATACACCAATTTATTTTGTAAATAATTTAATTTTAAAAGATTGAACAGCAGTAACTGTGGAATTTAGGTCACAGACTTGATATCTCTGTCACACACTGTATATCTTCTTCTTTCGAAACTCTTCAGTGCAAACCATAAACCTTATCTCCAGATTAAGTGAGTTAATGGTGTCACATACTCTATCCTTTTCCAGTTTTAATGAGTTTGGATTGTTTTATTCGACTCATATAAGGAATGTTGATCGATAAATTCAGTTTTATTTATTAAAACTGTTCAGTGTACAGTCAAAATTAATTTTGACTGCTAATTAGTTTGCCTATACATCTTTAACAGTGTTTATAAAAAATAATCTATACGTCTTTGACTATTGGATACTAATAAGTAGACATCCCATCTACATGGACCAGCTCTCGCCATTTTTTGTTAATAAAACATGTTGAGTGAGCCAGTCACAGAACTTGCGAGTGTCTAAGATTCTATTTAAATGTTTATTTTCTATTTCTATTATATGTTTGGTACCATTATGGTGTGCCAATTCAGAATTTCTTAAAAACAGTTGGTTAAATTTTAATTTTGTAGTAGATTAGCTTTATGAAGGGCCTTGAGGGCACTGAACATTTTTGGTTGTGATAAGGGGCATAGATTATTAATAGGTTTTGTACCATCTTTATGTATCATCATAGCAAATGTCATTCAAATCTACAAGAATTTGAAATCCAAACGATTTTGTTCAGCTTTATGAAATTCACTATTTGCCGTGCCTGAAAATCCAAAGGATGCTTGTTTGATCCTGAGAAAAGTCAAGAACTAGACTAGAACTATACTCCGTTCACAATATATACATGCGGTTTGAATTATGTTGCATTTGATTGATGTTTTGAAAAATCTCAGTTTTGAGTTATCTTTTAACTGTAGGATCAAGTCATGGAGGGGATAGATTTCTTCCCTTAAAGCAGCCTAAATGTTGTGAACGGAGTATAGTCAGAAAAGGTTAAAAACTGGACCCAGCTGTCCTTGATCAGTGGGCTTTTAATAAATAATTCTTGACCATTGGGCTTTTATTAAATAAATATTCCTAACTACAGAAGCCAGCTGATTTTTGTCACTAACACTCATGTTTCACTCGTCAATATAAAAACTTACTTAAAATATACGCTCTGATTTCTTGGTATTGTATTTTACCATGGTGGAAGGAAAAAACATAGGTGTGCTATCCCGTCATATTCTGACGTCACTCGGATGGCAAACAAAAGATCACCTGAGGCTAGGCGCACACGAGCGATTATTTTGAGGCGACTATTTCATCGGCCGATCTGTGCATCATGTATTTGAATGGAAGCGTGCAAACAGGCGATCAAAAATTGTGCCGATTTTAAAATCTGGGTTTTGCCACAGATTCGTAGGCGAGGCGTTTGTTACCCGAAAATCTGTAAGGTACAGCTTGTTATCAGTCCGCGCACACGGACGACTAAAAAATCGGTCAGTCGCTTGTTGTTCTCCACAGGAGTCAGTGAACTTCAGTGTGAGTTGTGTTGTTTTCCTTGCTAAAAAAGGCCACAGCTGTTATAATAAAACTGAAACTTTCAACAGACATTCTATAGTAATTAAAGAACTTTTTACTGTCATCACGTAAAGTGTATAGTTTATAAAACTGTCGATTTAAAAGTCTCTGACTTCATCGGATGAACCCAATATTTCAGTTGTCTTCTTTATTTATTTGATCTAATTAGAAGATCACAAACACAGGTTAATTCAACAAAGTCCATTTTAGGATAGCCTAAATGCACTCAAAAAATCAATTTCTCGACTAAAAAATCACTACGTATGCGCCTAGACATAAATCAAGGGCGATTTATTTTTAGCCGATTTTTTTATCGGCCGATCGAAAAATCGAACGTGTGCGCCAGACCTGATTGTAACTGTCAAATTAGTATTTGTTTTGATTTGGTTGTTATTGTTTTTATAATGAACACATTCAACTATTTTGAAAACATTATAAAAACAATAACAATGAAATCAAAACAAATACATACTATATATACTACAAATAATTATATACTATATAATTTAACAGTTATAATCAGGTGATATTTTGTTTGCAATCCGAGTGACATCAGAATATGACGGGAATAGCACACCTATGTTTTTCCATCCACCATGGTATTTAACTACCTATAGCTGTACACCTCAATGTATTTATTGGACAATGATAGCTGAGTGAGTTTCATAATTTGACTTACAATGGTATAAAAAAAATTGCTCTAGAAATACAAAATCTAAACTTCTCCTATCTTAATAATTGCTTGCGTAAATACATTTTACTAAACTTACCCCATGTAGGCACCTCATTTCCAGGATTACTCCTATCGTACCAGCCACCCGTCCCCACTCCCACCTGGTCCCTACCAAAAGGTCTAACTACCCTAGAGTTCCATTTATTACCCCACGTCAACTTCCCCAGCTTCGTCGGAGGGGCGGAGTCCTTAGGGGTGAGTAAAGGGGGTAGCACAATCTTCTGGAACACTTCCACATCGTCCTTCTCGCTCTTGGGTGGTTTAACTTTATCGGCAAAACACAACGAGAACAAACACAAATAGAGAAACAGTGAACACATGATCACATACAGACGGACAGGTTGGGAGTGCTGCACCTGTACTGGGAGAGTTGCTGATAACAGGTGATAAGAGATAACAGATAAGCTGACATCCATGAGATCACTTGTGTGTCATGAGTAGTAACGAAAGGAAATACTTGGTAAAGGAATGTTTGCATTCATGAATCATGGCAATATGATGTGGGATACTGAAAAAAAGTCTTTGTAATTGCTGATACATTTGCAATAAATAAAAATTCCTAGGATTCAGGAGTTTTGCTAAGTGCACAACTTACTAATTTAGAGAATAGCTTGTTAAAGAATTGTTGTTTAGTAGTGACATTTGTAAGAAAAAAAAATTGTTTGCTATTAACTACATGAAGTAAATGAATATGAAACATGGACATGAAATAAACAAGTAGAGCGATTAGGTGTGTTAATTATTATTTAGGTGTGTAGATACATTTTACTATACAAGGAAATAAAAATGCTTGAAAACATAAGCAATTGAATATTTCTATTTAAAGCAATTCAATTTAATATAATTGAATGCCATCATCAACTCCCGAGTAGATGACGGAGGGGTGCCGACTAACGAGTTCATTTATATATTCAATTTAATGCTTCTGGTCTCCTTCCTTGATACTGAACATAGGAGAGCGCTTAGACACCCCTTTTTGCTTGGCCCCCTACGTGACTGTGTACTTTTGCTTAAAACCAGCTCTGGATGCACACTTTTGCATAATATAATGAAGTGAGTACAGTGTTGCTATTTTACTGCATGAGAAGAATTTATCGAAGGGACACATTATTAACTAAAAATCCAATAATCATGAAGGGACTTATTTTTAACAATCAAAAGGTTACTATGGCTTTTCTTAGAATTGTAAAATCAACCTTTTGACTGTCAGGTAAGCCGTATAATCACCCATTAATCCAGATTTATAGCTTTTTGCAATTAATATTGGATATTACAATTAGGAAATAAAAAAATTATACTTTATCATTAGGTAAAAGTTCAGCTAAATATTTTAGAGTTCCTTTTCAAAATTCAAAATATTTCATGAACTCATTTGAGAAATACAAAAAATTATTTATTGTGGACTTGTATTGTATCGACTGATAACAACATGCTCAATGTTAAGCAAAGCTAATCTGTGGTTTGAATTTTCTTTAGATTTCTTTAGTAGGTTTTTTTTTAGATTTAACAATATTCTATAACGTTTTTGCTCATGAGATAACATGAATTGAGCTATTGCTGTATTGAGCTTTCATTTTATTTTTTTATACATCCCAAGTAGCTAGTATTTTAAAATTAAAATCTTTTCTGTGTAATTTTGTTAATACAATTTTGCTCATGATGTATATCCATGCTCCTTGCACTATTCAAATCAATGACAAAACTGAAACTGAAACTGTAATGACAAAGTCAAACAAAATATAAAATTTCATGTTCACTTTATATAGTGAATGTTTTCTTGATACTTAAATACCTAATAATGTTTTGATTAAGATAGCTGTGAACATATGCAATTTTCAGTATCAAATGTCTGATTTTTGTTTGGAAAATAATATATTTTGAAATTGAAATTGGTGAAGCTAAGTCCAGTTGTTCTTTACAAGTTTTGAAGATTCATAACTTTAGGTGAGTATTAATCGAATTAACTAAATTGTGTGTATCACCTTTGAGAAAATAAGGCAATTGTCAATTATTAGGTATGTAAAAAATAGTAAGGTTTGCTCAAGCAAAAAACATTAGATTTAAGTTGTTGGATCGGCACAGGAGGTGAATTTAATCAAATACACCCCAATCCCCATCTTTCAAGAGTTGCAAGTCTAGGCTAGATGTGTCATAGGTACAACAAACTCTCAACTAATTGAACTTCTACTCTGTGTTATGATGGAATTGGTAGACTTACCTATAACTAGAGCTTTGTTTTGGTTGTATGGGGCTTAGGCTAGAAACCTTTCCCTCGTGGGTACAATAGATTGTCCTAATCACATTTACAAATAATTCCAAGTGAAGAAATTCAAAAATCAAAGAAAAAACCTATCCAACCATATTAAAAAGTAGGCATTTGTGCCTTTGTTAGAATCTGTGCATTTTTCAGCATGCACTCAACTCCCAACATTACATTGCCTGTGAAGTAGTATCTTCAGTGGCTGGGCTGACATGTCCTAGGTCTTCTCGCCTTCAACACACCGTTTAACCCTTTGGGTGCCAGAAATTTATTTTGGTATTTTCCGAAAAGTGCTATAGAGTTTTTTTACTAGATATGTCCGAAAAGTGCCAGGCTTGCCGCTGGGGCCAATTAAGCGTAGTGTGCAAGAATAAAAATCTGTAAAAGTAGGCCTAGGCCTATAAATTTTACCCCAAAAGTGTCAAGGAACGATATGTCATGCCTCAATCGTATGAGAAATCGGATGCAATCATTGTTGTTTTTAGTTATTTTTCTTTTTCGTAGACATTTGTCAATGCTATAGAAAATATTTGCATGAACATAAGATATGATTTCATGACAATTAACAGTTTTACTTTTGCAGGTTGAACATCATCATGCCTGGACCGTGTTGTACTTCTGGATCACGTAAGTTAACTAAATGTTTAGTTATTGTCCGGTTTTAATGCTTATATTCAGTTTGAAATTGGCTTTCAAGGGTAAAATGCTGTTAAGAAACGTTCTTCCTGGTAATTTGATGAAGAGCTAATTTCTGAGGTGAATGTATTATTTTAAAACTTACATGTACATGGCTTTTTGTTAAAAAGTAGGCTTATTTGCATAAATTAGAAATTGCCATCAGTACAACCATCAGTATCATATCAATCCAACAACATTATTTTTTGAATTAATTATAAAGAAAAGAAAACTAATGTCTCCTTCTACCAATAGTCAATGGTTTTATCCAGTCTCAAAAGTAATTTATGACCTTTATTGTCTGCAGAGTGTCAGGGTGCAAATTGCAACTGTGTAGATTGCAAGTGTGGACCTGATTGTGCCTGCTACAACACCAACAAGGCAAGGCTGGACTCGTGCTGCAGCGCTGGACCTTCGTGCACCAACAGTGAACATGACGCTTGCTGTAGCAGAGCTCAAGGTTCGAGCACCAGTGTTGCTCAAGATTCGTGCTGCAACATCGCTCAAGTCTCAAGTTCAAACATTGCTCAAAATCCTGGTTCAAATGTTGCTGAAGACAAATAACTCAATTGATGGATTTATGGTCAAAAATTTTTAAATTGAATTGTGATCGTAAATAACTGTTTATTGTTAAAATGTTGAAAAAATTTGTACAAAGAGTTTAAAAACGTTGATTTTTTATAAGAAAACATTCCTGGACGATATTTTATAATTGGAGTTGTTAAATTTTATTGCATTAGACCATTTATTTTTATTATTAATAATGTTATCTTATTTTAACTCAAAGAAATGGACAGATAAAAAAAAAAACAGGATGAGAAAGGTTGCAGTGTTAACCTTAAAAATAGGAAGTATTAACCCACAAAATACATTGCACTGGCTTAAAAACATGTGATTCTCAAACTTCTCAAGACCTTACACAGATTTTTTTTTGTTATATAAATAATATAATTAAATAAGTACCGTAGGTGATTGGTTGCAGAGCATGCCTTGATAACTATAAGTTTCCAGGTTACATTGTGTTCACCTTCATACGAAAGAAGTAGGCCTAGAAACAAAATTAGACCTACAACTCGCCTTTGGCTCGCTGGGGGCTCCGCCCCCAGGCCCCCTTTTTTGGTTGGGGATAAAAAGAAATGGGCCATGGCGCAAGACCTGCAATTGAGCCAAATTTCAGATCTTTAGCTAATCTAGAAGTGGGAAAAATTGATTTAGACCGATGCACCTGTAGGAATAACATTGGGGGGATTCTAATTTTCGTGGGGGGGGGGAGTTATATTTGTAAAATGTCAATTTTGAAAAGGGCGCAAGATCAACAATCATGCCAAATTTCAGATATCCAGTTAATCTAGAAATGGGTAAACGTGATTTAGACTTATGCACCTGTAAGAATAACATTAGGGGGGGGGAGGATTCAATATTTGGGTGGGGGGTTGAAAATACGACGCCCCCAGGTCCCCTTTTTTGGTTGGGGGTAAATACAAATGGGCCATGGCGCAAGACCAAATTGAGCCAAATTTCACATCTTTAGCTAATCTAGAATTGGTTAAAATTGATTTAGACCGATGCACCTGTAGGAATAATATTGGGGGGCCCCAAATTTTGACATTAAACCTAAGTTTTGGGGGTCAAGGAGTAAAGTTACGAAAAAACACGTAGTGTTTAAAATTTAAAGTTAAGTAAGGAGAATACAAAGCAATATTAATTTTTGCAAAAACAAATTATTTAAGTATGAAAAATGGCGAAAACCGGTAAAAATTTAAAGAAATTTACCAAATTTTGAAAGTAGGGCGTTTTTTGAAGGTTAAGGAGTGTGATTTTCGGGAAACACCTATTAAAGGTTTGTAGAAAATTTGATTCCCGTTCATGAAAATCCTTTCAAATATTTTCTATCTCTTACTGTTTTCGAGCTATAGGCGATTGAAAAAAAATGGGTCGTTTTTAGAGGTCCGCCAGTTTGGATTTTTAAGGTGGGTAAAATTTAAAAATGGGACTTTTGCAAAATTTGCCATAAACTTATGATCCCTTACTACAATAGTACCAAATTCCAAGTCTCTAGCACGTTTCTAAACGATTCATATGACCATACCAAAGTCATTATATTTTAATCTTATTCTCCATAAGAATAACATGGGGCTCGTAAAAGTGGTAAAAAACCTTCAAATTTTGAAATTAAACCTAAGTTTTGGGAGTTAAGGAGTAAAGATACGAAAAATTATTAAAGGAGTAGAATTTAAAGTAAGGAGAATACAAGAACCAAGGAGAATACAAAGCAATAATAATATTCGCGAAAAGTAATTATTTAAGTATGAAAAAATAGCGAAAACCGGTAAAAATTGGAAAGAAATTTATCAAATTTTTAAGGTATGGCGTTTTTTGAAGCTGAAGGAGTGCGATTTTTGGAAAACGCAAGATAGGGTTTTGTAGAAAATTTAATTTCCTTTCGCTAAGATTCTTTCAAATCCTTTCTATCTCTTACTGTTTTCGAGCTACATCCGATTAAAAAAACTTGTTTTTTCGTTTTCAGAGGTCCGCCATTTTGGATGTTTGGGGGGGTTAATATTAGAAAATGGGACTTTTAGGAATTAAATTTTCTACAAAACCTTTTTAGATGTTTTCCGAAAATCGCACTCTTTCGGGTTCAAAAAACTCCCTACTTTCTAAATTTGGTAAATTTCTTTCAACTTTTTACCGGTTTTCGCTATTTTTTCATACTTAAATCATTCCTTTTTGCAAATATTATTATTGCTTTGTATTCTCCTTACTTTAGTTTAAATTTTACACAATACGTCTTTTTTCGTAACGTTACTCCTTAACCCCCAAAACTTAGGTTTAATGTCAACATTTGAAGGTTTTTTACCACTTTTACGAGCCCCATGTTATTCTTATGGAGAATAACATTGAAAAATGCCGACTTTAGTATGCTCATCTGAACCAATTAGAAACGTGCTAGAAAATTATTTAAGTATGAAAACATGGCGAAAACCGGTAAAAATGTAATAAAAATTTACCAAATTTTGAAAGTAGGGCGTTTTTTGAAGCTGAAGGAGTGCGATTTTCGGAAAACGCCTGAAAGGGTTTTGTAGAAAATTTAATTCCTGTTCCTGGATATACTTTCAAATCTTTTCTAGCTCTTACCGTTTTCGAGCTACATCCGGTTGAAAAAAAAGTGTTTTTTTCTTTTTCAGAGGTCCGCCATTTTGGATTTTTGAGGGGGTTAAAATTTGAAAATGGGACTTTTGCAAATTCCACCGGTAATATAAGATCTCATACTACAATACTACGCAAATTTGAAGTCTCTAGCACGTTTCTAAGCGGTTCATATGAGAGTACCAAATTCGGTATTTTTTAATGTTATTTCCCATAAGGATAACATGGGGGGGAAATTCGAAATTTCGGGGGGGGGTTAACATTTGAAAATGCGACTTTTCGGATTTTTCCCGGGGGTTTGGGCACTAGACCTACGACCACCGAAAATTTCAAGTCTCTAGCTCATCTAGAAGTGGTCTAGAATTTGTATCCCTTAGTTACATATGCGGGATTATAGTATTTAGACTTCCAAGACGTCTCAAGAAGAGGTTAGGTTTCCAAAAACTAAGACTAAACCCATTATAGGTTCAAATACTGACAAAAGTGGTCTCAAGCGTGCGGAAAAATCCAAGGCAGTTTTTGTTAGTCGTTGTTCTTCAGATACGGAAAGTAGTGACATTGAATCCTATCTAAAAAGTGAAAATGTTATTTGTAACAAATGTGAGAAACTACCTACCAGGTTTTCAGACTATACAAGTTTCAAGGTAAGCGTCTCTGATAATCTTGTTAAGGACTTATTGAAACCTGAATTTTGGCCCGAGGGAATTTTTGTAAAAGAGTTTGAAGAACGTCGTTCAGGCAGACAAAATAACGTTAAAAGCTACATTCCTTCTCGTACTTTTTTAGGGAAAATGCAGCCCCGTCAAACTCAATCCTAGGTTATGGGCCTGAAATCTTGCCTAGTACGGGAAAATCTGCTAGTAGCCTGCTTGTGTGTGCTATAAATGTGCAATCTATACGTAATAAAATTGCTGAACTTGAGATACTTTGCTGTCAACTGGACATTGATGTGCTTTGTGTGTCTGAACATTGGTTGTTAGAGGCAGAAACTGCATACTACTCTAGAATCAATAGCCTTGACCTTGTATCTTGTTTTTGTCGAAAAACCCCTTTGGGGGGGTGTGTCAATTTATATTAATACTAAATGGAACTACTCTTTGTTAGACTTAAGTGAGTACTGTGAAGAACTGCATGCAGAATTTACAGGTATAATCATCTCTAACTTGAATCTCATTGTTGTCACCATGTATCACTCGCCTAGTGGTAGTTTTGAACGCTTTTTTTATCTACTTGACATGTGTCTAGTTTATTTAACTTCCCTGGGGTTAGATATTATAATCGGCACTGACCACAATGTGAATATACTCAACCATCCAAGTGAGGCCAGTGATTTCAGGAACATTCTCCGCAGCCATGATATATTCTTCAGTGTCAATGAACCAACCCGTGGTCTATCTCCTTTAGACACTGTTCTTACCAATCTTGATAGCTGGAGATACATGGCCCATGTAAGTGTAGATCAGATATCTGATCACAAACATGTTTTTTTTAAACTAGATCTACCTGAAGGTGTATCCAAACATGGTCTGCAGGAACCTGACTACTTAAATAATCCTGTCAAAACTGTAACTTACAGACAATTTAATGAAAGTAACTACTGTTACTTTCAATGTGTATTGACTGATCTGGCAGTAAAGTGGCTCTCTGAAATAGAATCATTTAATGCTGAACAATCCTTTGACTATTTCTTTGATAATTTCAGAAAAGTTTTTGACTATTGTTTTCCCTTAAGAAATAAAACCTGCAGGACTGTGCCTCCAGCCAAGGCAAATGCTGGGTGCAGTGTAAACAACTGGTACACACCTGAACTCTCTGCCTTTAAGAACTTTATCCTAGGTATCAGTGACTTATGCAATAGTAACCCACAATTGCTGCCCTACCTTCGTGATCTCAGGAAGCATTATCGTTTGAAGGTAAGGGAGGCGAAGCAATTTGCTACTGCTACTGCCATTGCTACATCTCCAAATGCATGCAAGGCTGCCTGGAACTACATCAATAGGCATAAAACCCCCACTACTGTTCCTGCTAAAGACTTTTGCACTGCTGATGAGTTTAATTCATATTTTCTTGAGTCTGTTGATGAATTAATCCTCTCTTGTAAACCTGATCCATCTGTTCCTTATGATTTCCTTAATTCTGTTCCATTTGTTCCCACTAATTTTTCATGGACACCTGTTACTGTTGATAAGCTGCTTAGAGTAGTCAGTAGCTTTAAATCCCCTAAGAGTCAAGATTTTTATAACATGTCTGTTGAGCTTTTAAAAAGATGTATCTATGTAGTTGCGCCAATCATTGTAGATATTGTAAATAAATCTCTGAGAGAAGGAGTCTTTCCTGAGGCTCTGAAGATTAGTAGGACTGTACCTGTGTACAAAAAGGGACCAAAGGACAGTACTGTAAGTTACAGACCAATATCTATCATCCCCATCTTTGGTAAGGTGCTTGAAGCAGTCATGTTAGAGCAGCTGTACAGCTACTTTGAGAGGCATCGCCTTATTGTGCCCGCTCAATTTGGCTTCCAAAAAGGAAAGTCCACCGTTCAGGCTGTGGACTGTCTTGTTCAAGAAATCTTAAATGGTCTAGAGATTAGAAATTCTACTTCTGTTATAATGTGTGACCTATCCCGCGCTTTTGACTGTGTGTCACATAGTCTCCTGTTGTCAAAGCTCGAAAGGTACGGGGTACGAGGCGATGCTCTCTCATTGATTAAATCTTATCTTGAAGGGAGGTCTCAAGTTGTGACTTGGAATGGTAACTCTTCCAATCCTCTGATGGTGAACAATGGAGTCCCGCAAGGGCCTATTATGGGTCCCTTCCTTTTTGTAATCTCAATCAATGACTTGTATCACAGTGTTGCAGGCAATGTCCTGCTATATGCAGATGATACAACTCTCTTTTCTAGTCATTCAGATTTTTCTGTATCTAAAGTTGCTGTGCAGGAATTATTAGATGTAGCTTCTATCTGGTTTCGCAACAATAAATTATGCCTGAACCAAGCCAAAACTCAAAACATCACTTTCAGTCTTTCTAGGGAACTGAGGGAAGAAAACACTGTAAAGCTGCTGGGCTTCACCCTTGACCCTCAGCTTGATTGGAACGATCATATTGAAATCCTGTGTGGTAAGCTAAGTCGTGTAATCCATTTGCTCAGACGGTTGAAGGCTGACATGCCATTTGAATTTGTTCGACTTGCGTACTTTGCTTTTTTCCATGCTCACATTCTGTATGGCACTAGGCTCTGGGGTCACTCCCCTGGAGTGCAAAAAGTACTCAAACTACAGAAGAAAGCTGTCAGGGTCTTGTGTGGAGTCCATCAGCTTGAGCATTGTAAACCTCTGTTTGTTCAGCATGGTATAATGCCTGTACACAATGTATTTATTTACCAATGCCTGTTAGAGATTAAGAACAATGAATCAGCTTTTCCATTGGTTAATAATGTTCATCATTATAGCACTAGGAACAATGAAAATATTTTCAGAGATAGAGTTAGACTAGATTTAACTCTCAATTGCTTTCCTGTTGCAGGAATAAGGTTCTACAATGCCTTACCCATAACTGTAAGACAACTCTTACCGAACAAGTTTGCGACCACACTAAAAGCTTGGATGCTTGCCAATCCATTCTATTCCATTAAAGAGTTTTGGAATGCACAGCTTGTTACTATTGGGTTGAACCCACAGTAGTCCAGTAGAGGTATTACAAAAATGTAAATTTATTTATTTTTCTCTGCCTTGCATGGCTTGCAGCATGTGGTTTTCATTTTATTTGTATTTTTAGTTGCATGCATTGCTTTGCATGTTTTTGAGATCCTGCATGTGTTTTTTTTTCAGCTTTTAATTCAATTTTGTCAGTCAAGAATGCTAGAAGAAGCTTGGCATGTTATTTATTATTTATTGTATTGTTGACGTAGCCTATTGTCCTGTATATGAACTGAATGGCCAAATAAATCATTTGAATCATTTAAATCATTTTTTTGAATCATTTGAAAAAGTTCCCTGGAGAGTGATTGCCTTCAAAAGTTTCAATGATTTAGTGGTCACCTTCATACCTACTCAAAAGTTTCCAAAGATATAGTGCTCGCTTTCATACCCAAAGTTTCCAAGTTATAGTGCTTGCTTTCATACCCAAAGTTTCCAGGTTATAGTGCTCACTTTTATACCCGTGTTTCCAGGCTATAGTGTTTGCTTTTCATACCTTAAGTTTCCAGGTTATAATGATTGATTTCATACATAAAGATTCTATAGTCCTTGCTAGATAGTTATAGTCCTTGCTTTCATACCCAAAGTTTCCAGGTTATAGTGCTCACTTTTATACCCGTGTTTCCAGGCTATAGTGTTTGCTTTTCATACCTTAAGTTTCCAGGTTATAATGCTTGATTTCATACATAAAGATTCTATAGTCCTTGCTAGATAGTTATAGTGCTTGCTTTCATACCCAAAGTTTCCAGGTTATAGTGCTCACTTTTATACCCGTGTTTCCAGGCTAAATTGTTTGCTTTTCATACCTTAAGTTACTAGGTTATAATGCTTGATTTCATACATAAAGATTCTATAGTCCTTGCTAGATAGTTATAGTCCTTGCTTTCATACCCAAAGTTTCCAGGTTATAGTGTTCTCTTTCATACCCAAAGTTTCCAGGTTATAGTGCTTGATTTCATATCCAAAGTTTCCATGATATAGTGCTTGCTTTCATACCCAAAGTTTCCAGGTTATAGTGCTTGCTTTCATACCCAAAGTTTCAAGGTTATAGTGCTCACTTTTATACCCGTGTTTCCAGGCTATAGTGCTTGATTTCATATCCAAAGTTTCCAGGTTATAATGCTTGATTTCATACATAAAGATTCTATAGTCCTTGCTAGATAGTTATAGTCCTTGCTTTCATACCCAAAGTTTCCAGGTTGATGTGCTCACCTTAATGCCCATAACATTTTGGTTCCATCATGAAAATAACATATTCGAATTCAGTGATAATTTGTTATAGGACCTGGAACAGTGGGGGGAGAGAACGAAGCTTCACTCTCCCTTCCCCCACCCCCCCCCTTGGCCCTAGAACGCCAATTCAATTTATTCTTAGTGTAAAGGGACTTTTCGACCACCCTGTAGTTATACTAATGTGACAAGGTATGAACAAATAAAACATTTTAAGTCTTTAGAGCATCTTTATTCAAATAGTTTAGTTAAATTGAAAAATTAAGAAGATATTTAAATGAAGTTTTTGCAGACTATTACATGTGGTGTGTAAAAAATATTGCAAAAAGTGTCATTGATGAAAAATTCCAACATTTTTGTCAACATTCTTGAATCAAAACAATACCGATACATGGAACTGCAATAGTAAATTTCCTAGTTCTTAAAGTAGGTACCTAAATATCAACCAATGGTATATTATTTTTCAGAGTGTTGTAGAATCTTAAGACTAACATGAAGAATAATTCATTTTGTTCAAATAATAACAATATTTTTACATATATTTAATCAGCCACATGTACTAAAAATAAAAATAGAAGTTAAATAAATCTGAAAGAAATATTTTTTACACCCCACACCTAAAAAACCAAATGCAATGCTACAAACAGCTACACCATTAGATATGTGATTGTCGTTTTATATACAGAAACATTATGTACATATAGGAAGTATTGTAAAAAGTGTATGTACATAAGAATTTCAACGAACATAAATATCTAAGGTATCAACCGATCTTTAACAATGACATTACTTTAGAGTTAACAGAATATTAAAGTTCGGAAACTTTTGATACTTCTACCAGTCTTAGGACCTGATATTTCAATAATTAGAATAATTGTATTTTATCCTTTTGTAAAGAGTAGGTATCCACTTATTGGGATTTAACTGTGTACAATTTATTGGTTACAAAGTAATAACCAACAAAAGCCCATTGAAAAGGTATATTCTTAGTAAAGATTCAATACTTTTAATACTTTTTAATACTTTTTCAATGAAAGGATACTTAGAGGAGGAGAATTATTTTCGTGTTTTCATAACTCTATGGTTAATGAATTTTGTCCAGTTACAAAAAGTAGCATTTATATTTAAGTTTTGATAGATTTAAAAGCTGAATCAAAATTAAATCCTACACTGACAAAAGTATCAAAAATTATATCCATAGACATTTAGCAAACTTAACATGAATGAATAACAATAAATTACAAGTAAAAAAATCAAGTTAATAAGATCGAGAAAAATTTATTGCTAATTCACATTTACAGTAATTATCAATAGTTTTGAATGTAATAGTCATATTTTACTGTGATAGTTTCCACTGAAGTTGATTTTTAATGATTAATATAAAATTCCATATAAATAAGAGAAAGAAAGTTATAGCCTACTAGGTTTAATGGAATTATTTTAGAACCCTGATGAAGTCAAAGGAAAAGTTTATGGTGAAAGTAAAATATAAGCATTTTAATCACAGATTGTAGGAATAGTGCCATATCTTTATGGCTACAAGAAGTTACATAGCTTTTAGTGGCGAGATTCCTCCAATTTAGGGAAAGATCTGGCTATGAGATATTTCCTTTCTCGCTTTAGAGATTAGAGACCTTAAGGTGTCTTCTAAACCTCAGAATCTCAGCATCGCCATTGCTAAAATCCATTAGTGATTGGGCAGATTAGAACTTGATACTTCACAGAAATCGCGTGGTCCAAACTATAACCAGCCGGGCCTGTTAATTGATGGCCACAAAATGGAAAGATTAATAAAAATTACATTAATGATGATAATTTAAAAATTTACAACACATTGAACTAAAGTAATTCTAGGTTTGAACTTTCAATAAGCAAACGAAATAAGACAAGCAACCAAAGTAAAAAATTTTTGACACATTACATTCCAAAACTGACACTCTTAAACCTGCAAACCCACAAAACAAAACTCCTACAACCACTATAAATAAATACAAATTACCGCGATCAATAAATCGATCAATTCCATATATGCAGCTTCAGAGGTTTAACCTGCTGAATCTCTCCAACGATGAAGTGAAGATAACAATATTACACAAACTAAACAAAACTACAATACAACCATCAAAGGATGTCTTTTATACTCAAAAAGCTATATGCAAATCGTTGATCAATAGACACAGACGCTAAAGTTAACGGCAGTCAAAATATACTCGATACATAGAACCATAGATGTAAAACTATAAATACTACAGTAACAAGAAGGACAATACACAAAATAAATAACACAAACTTTTGAAACCACTCTCAAAAAACAAACTCACGTAAGAGTTGGAAAGAAATTGACACAGATTAAAAACACAGCTTGATAATGACTAAGGCAGGTATTTACAGTGATAACTTTAACAAGTGGAAGATTCAACATATAATGCACATTTCAAAGATACTTAAATTGGCGATTCCCAAACCTATACTCTCGATCAAAAAATTATCCTGTTACTAGAAAATCATCCCAGCTTCATAAACTATTTTTAATTTGGCTTCTCCGTTGAGCTTGGGTTTTTTAGGTGCGGAAGCAGCGCATAGAGCAGAGAGCTGAGTATACTCTCCTGTTGTCTTAGGTAATTTAATTGTACTTCATTTTCCTAGAAGAAGAGCAGACTGTGCGAGCAGAATATCTCTTCTCTGCACTCCGCTCTTTGCAATTCCGCCCTCCCGCTTCTGCGCCAAGGAAAACCCAGCTTAACAGTTTTTTACAGCCACAACTGTCTAGGTATTGTTTGAGAATCACCTTTTGAAACAATTAATTACATAAGATTTACAAGCTATAAGGCTCTAAGTGGAATAAATCTAAAGGTTGACGCTAAGACATAAGGAACCCGATAGGAAAAGAAAGGCTTCATAGTCAGTTTTGCTACTGAACTTCTTTTGGAGAAAACTATTTTGAAATTATATAGAATTTTGGAAGATTTTCAATGTTTACTGAAAGTAAAAAAAAAAATCTATACATAAGCTGTATCGATTCTTATTGCAATAATTAATAAATGTTGCAATATAAAAATAATTCTTTCTACTACAGGAAAATTTTTTTGGATAAAAGTTATGTATAATAGAATTGAAATCATAATCTGGATCAAAAATCAAACTACATCAGTTTCAAAGCAATGGACATTTCTAAAACGAATCGAAACATTCAATAACAAATCCGACGTTTCCACCAATCTCGTTAAATAGCAAAGAGTAGTTTGACACAATACAATACTGTACAACAATACAATACGATAATCTTAAATTACAATACAGTATTGCTAGTTTCAATATTAATCGCTACTTAACCTATCTTCCACTTGGGTGCCGCGTGGTATTCACAGATTAAAACTATTTACCATAATTGAATTATGATTTCCTTTAATCAAAGAAAACAAATTCAATTGAATAATATTTTTACAAAAATAAACGTAAAGAACTTAGAGAACATTCAACATTACAGCGATACTTGCGACTACACCACGAATTCATGTTTCTTTTTTATTTTTTCATTTTATGATCTACGCTAACAAATACCTTATGAGCTGGTTTTGTTAATTTAATCTTGGGGCTGTTTGAGATATTTTTATTTCTTTATCATCAATGAATATGTTTAATATAATATTACCTATTAAATATACAATTCTTAACAAAATTGGTATTTTTTGTGTTAAAAAAATAACATTACCAAAAAATATATCCTCTGGACTGATTAGAAAACGCTAAATAGCTGATTTCTGCACTCCATTTTCAACTAATAAACACAAAAATGTAAGCACGTAGGTATGGTTTGTATGCAAAAGGTGGCAACAATGGTTGTAAAACTTGTAGATCAGCTGTTGCACTGGTATTGTTTACATTCGGAATGCGAAAATTGACTGTTATATAATTTAGCTTATAAACCGTTAAATTATAACAAAGAATAATTTATGTTTTTTTTTTCTAATAATTTTTATTGTGGAATCTAGTAGACAAATGATTCACATGACTGGTTTTATATCAATAATTTCTGAATCGTTGAGAAACTAACAAAACCAACTCACAAGCTTACTAACATATAGGTACAGTGATAAAATGCAGTCAAGGTAATGTACACTTTAGTTCTTTCATCGGAATAAGGGCAAATTGCTCAAAATGCTCACATAGAATTGGGAAAATGATAGTAAAATGTCAATGGTAAAAGATAATTTGAGCAAGAAGATTAATAATTTATTAAATTCCAGGCCAAGTTATAATACTTCAATGATTTTTATTTTTTTAAACCAAGCATACAAGAAAAATAAAGAGTTAAAACTAAATACTAAGAGTCCAAAATTGCAAACTTTTATTATTCTTTATAGTGCACAGTAAATTTGAACTGTACGATTTGTAGTAGACTTATTTTTGAGAATATTCCAAAAATCTCTTAATTATCATTAATCTTCCATCTATTAAAGCTTAAACCCCCTCCCCCTTTCAATATTTCTATTCTTTCACTTAACTCAGAAAGTAAATTAAGCACACTAATTGTTAAGACCATAGTCAAAAAAGCACATAAACCTTCTATTCTAAATTCAAGAATATAGTAAAATTAGTATGGACTTTTCATTTCTAAAAGGAAACTATTGGGTATTCCTAAATACACATAACTATAAAGGAAAATACATAATCTGTCTCCGGAAACATTTATATTTTGAACAATAAAAGTTTGCAGTTAATTTCAAGATCTTATATCCATCATACATAAGTTTAAGTTAATATAACAACTATCTGTAGAAGTTAGCGAAATATACACCATAAGTGCAAAAGGCCATAAGTTTAAATAGGTAGAAGACTATACATTTATTTCACAAACACCATCTGTTTGATTCTAGTTGAAATATATAATCTAAGTGTACAGCGATAAAAACAATCTATATATTTCAATTACTTACGTAATAAGTTACATCAATATAAAACATGTTGGTGTCTTCTTAGTACTTAAAATAGTTATAAATATATGGGTGTATCCGGTGGTCGAAGCCCGGCCCACCGCAACGGGTCCCATTGCGAAGCACGAGAAATATAAACACTTTAAATCAAAATGTTGTAAAAATACTGATAAATTTTCTTAGTTTAAAAGATCCCCAAAAATGTTTACTCCCTCACTACTTTCTCGACTAGGGAAATGTTTTAATTATTCAATTGACTTTATATACATAGTATTGTGGTGTTTTACTTAAAAAAAACTCTAAAACAGCTGAAAAATATTTTTTACTCTAAGCGTTTAGTGGTGTGATGTTAATTCTTTGTAAAGTCGTATTAATATTACATTCCGTAATTGAAGGAAAGCAAAAACTAATGAGAACAAGTATACTGCGGTGAAAAAGTTTACAGGTAAATTTCAAATGCGAGTTTCTTTTCTTAAGACAATGAAACACAAAAGCCACACTTACAGAACGTAACAATCTGAACAGCTGATAAGTTTACATCTGTACAGACCAGAGTAGTTCGTAGTAAGAATATCTTTTATACAGTTAATCTTGTATTAAAAATAGTGTCCATTAACATTAAAATACGATTATTTTCTCTAACCGCTAAACAGACCGAATGAACAATATTTAGAAAGTAGTAAGAAGGCATGAGTTGCTATTCTATTAGTTGATATGGCGAAGCAGGGAAGGATAATTGACTCTTCTCGGGGATTCTCCGGTTTTCAGACAACCGTTTCAACATCGTCTCCCGTAAGTTGAAAACTCTCCTGGCCTGCAAACAAGGTGTGAATTAATGTGGAGGAAAAAACATATGGTTCCATTATGTGTGGTAAGTGTTATATAATATGTTACTGACTAAGATCAGCTGTTTTATTAGCCAGAATCATTTGTTTGAAAGCCCAATAATAAAAAACAGCTGGGTCCAGTTTCGAGCCATCAAAAAACAAAAAAAATACTAACTTTTCACAGGATTGTTCCAGCAACCTTTTGATTGGTAGGCGAGCACTTTAACCACTCTATCCAGCCGGTATTTAGCTAGTTCAGACTAAGATTCCACAAGTTTTAAGGATTATCACACCATGGCTGACGCCATTCAGAAGTAATTCAACTTAACTTAAAGTTTTAGTTTCTAGTTTTACATCATGATCTTCACAATTTCTAAAAAAGGCACTGACAAATATCCTGATTTCGTTGAAATTAGCAGATAGCATTGGGGAGGTGAACTACCACTGGTAGTCTGGACATTTGTGTTAGCCAGCAGGAATCAAAGGTTGAAGAATAAGAATGAGGACTGTGTTATTTTTTTTTTGAAGTATCATCTAATAGTTACTGGATAATAAATGACATGGGTGAAAAAAAATTAATTTTCTAGAACCAAAGTCAAAATATTAAAACCATTTATGATTGGAAATGTTATCTTTGACTGGTCTCAATCAGTCAGTTGGCCAGCTGTGGTTTTTGCACAGTAGCTCAGATAAATTCAAGATAGATGGGTTGCACTTAATCGAATGGCCAATGAATGAATGAATGAATGAATGCATTATATTTTTATTCCAAATCCAAGTAGTATAAATGACAAAAATGTACAAAAAGCCAACATGGGCCACATGGGACTTTAAAACTTTAAATTTAAAATTTAAAAAGATGAAGGTTGTGAAAACTTGTTTCCTTTGTAGTCTTCTTTGTGAAGTCTAGGTTCTTACCAAAAACATTCCTTTGGAAATGAACATTTCCAAACCCATTTCTGCACTTTACCTAATCTCCCTCTTTGCATTGGGGCCATTACCTCCGGTCATCTGGTGATGAATGTCAGCTTTGATTATGTTGTCTGCAGTCAATAAACGTATCACCGACCTTATCTCACATGTGTCATGAGATTCAATCATTTTAAAGCATATGTTTAAAATATTCATAAAATTTTTTCAAACACACATCGAAGCGTACACTTTAGCTACAGAGCTGCAAAATGTGTCATTCTGTTCACAATGATGCCAGTAAGTGGGAAAGAGCCTCATTGTGGTGTGCATATGAACCATGGAGCTAACTTCAAAACGGCCCTTACTTAAAAAATGACCCTTGTATTAAGAGATTTGAATTATTTGTATTTAGATAGCAAGGAAACAGCTGTATTGAAAACAACATAACAGTTAAATCTTAAAATTCATACGATACGGCAGCTTAAAGATAACAAGGAAAACAGTAAAGGAAGAAGGATTTTGCTATATCCTACTTTCAACACACATTACTCCTCTATGTTATAAAATTTAAAATATCAAATGGTTTAAGTCATAAGTAAAGTTATAGATTTAGTTGTGTAAAATGCATGCATCCTAAACTGAAATTATTGGAATCTACCCAAATTCTTATATTCCATTGAAAAGGTATATTGCCTATCTGCTGATTCTAGAGGCTTTTTATTTACGTTTTAACCTCTGTAAATTTAAGTATATAAAGTCATCCTGAATTTATGAATAAAAACTCAAATCAGTAAACAGACAAAACAGCATTCCCACTCACATTGAAAGCGTAACGAATTGCTTAGCAAACTGACAAAATTATTTACATTTGTGAATAATTATTCAAAACATTTCACATTTCTGAAAATAACAGCTTTGAAACTTACCCTAATTATATCCTTAAAGGGAATAGTATTCCGTACCTTTGAATATTTCATAGTTTTTCCATATTTATCTGGATTTTTTAGTTTTCCTTTTAAGTTTTCTATTAACTTGGTTTTGGAGCATCCCCAGCCTATTTACGGTATAATTGATCACATTTTCTGCGCTTAGTTCTGTACACACAAGACAAAGAGGTTTCTAACAGGCATAGTACTCAATAATACCGTAAAACTAATCATGTAAAAAATGCATGGAAAAAAGGAGTTGAAGATTTTTAAAGAAATTGATTATGTTATCCTCTAAAAGCAAACATGAACAATTACCAAGTAATGTGAGAAAAAAGCACTTCAATGATCAAAGGTGTCTAAAAAATTTGTATTCATAAAGAATTGATAGAGACTTTTCTAGCCTGTGTTCAGAAAAAATTAGGGGGAAGAAACAACAAGTATTGAATTAGAAAGTCTTTTCCTTACATTAGAGAAGCACGCTTAAGACTAATACCAAAATTAGCAAATCTCAAAGACCAAATCCCAAACCAATGCCGAAATTATATTGTATGTATGATTCTAGACAGGATGTTTGCTAGTACTGATCTGTCAGAGATTATCTCAAAGCATTTGTTCCTAGCATTGAGCAATGCAGTTTTAGATGCCGCTAAAGACACATAGATTCCAGGGGAAACATTTCACATCTTGACTTTATAGTAGCTCGGTTTATGGCTAGGAGGCTACGATTGTAAAATATAAATAGGAGCTTACAAGTCTTGGAGTTTAGTTGACTCAAGTAATTGTTTTGAAAACACGCCTATCAAGAATTTTAAAAATCCACTCAAAGACTTCTTGTTTAAAAAATACTTGCTGCTAGCATTTTATTGCTGGAATGGTCTCCGTGTTGAAAAAAAAATAAATAAATAATGTTGTGCTACTTGTGTAGCTATCAGAACAATCCATTTAAGTGTAATTCAACTGCAGCTGTTGGTGCTGCATTAAATGGAGGACATTTTCAGGTTAGAATGTCAGCTATTCAAAAATCCTTCACAGAATAGTTTCAATCAAAATAACACAAAGTATATGTTTTCTTTTGTCGTTCCTTGTGATTTTAATTTAAAACCGATGATGACCTGAACATGTGCTTAATTTTCTGCAACACAAAACAGCTGTCTAACAGAAACACGTGTAAAATACACCTTTGTGAAATTTTTTTCTGAAAAACTAAGTAGGCCTACACCTTAGATACTTGTTTTAAGGCCTCTTGTTACTTCAAACCTGTTCTCTGAATAGATTGCAACTACTCGTGCAAATTTTAATGACCAAGAAAAACATCTTGAGACTTTAAACTTTTTCTTTTGCAATATTTAAATACATACTCTCCAGGTAGGCAGCTAAGTCCTGGTCGTCTGCTTGTACCGCTAGCTGTCGTGGGGTGGCACCGGACCGGTCTTGCATGGTGAGACTGGCGCCGCCGGCCACCAACATACAACATATGCTGCGCCGCTTGGTCTGAGCTGCTTTATGCAGAGCTGTCTGACCCCTGGAAAAATTTGTTGGTTAACACTAACAAAAAAAATGTAAATCTTCCTGCTGGATACATTTAGAGGCTTATAAATGCATGGTTACTATTTTAGATATATTGGTAAAATATTGACAAGTATGAAACATTAAGTGTGGTGCAATTGAAATAAACCCAATCAACATTTTTAATTGTACATTTCAAAAGACCTTAACCAAAACTAGACAAGTATTGGTTTCAAAATCCCCACAATATTTCTAGTTATTAAAAAGTAGTTAGTTGCTATCATTTTTTTAAATCAACATTTTTCTGCTATTGGGCTACAGAAATTGGTTATTAAACAGAAAAATCATCAAAATTTAATGACACATCTTAACTTATAGATTTCAGTGGATCTTAAACTAAAATTTAACAATTGATTTTAAAATCCTAACTATATTTCCAATTGTTAACTGTTATTTTTGCTTTTCCTTACTTGTCGTTGTCCGCCATGTTGAGTATGGATGCAGGCGCACAGGCTATGAGGTACTTGACTATATCCTTGTGGCCGTACTTAGCACCATGGTGAAGAGCTGTCTGACCACTCGCGTCAATAGACAACAGCGAGAAACCTTGACCGTGGAGGTCCTTCAGCTAAGAGCAGGAAAAAAGCATAATAAGATTCAATCGATAATTTAGTGAGAACTATAAATAAAGACATGTTAATTAATAGTAGGTCTTGTTATCTGAAAATTAGTTTTATTTTCTCCCCCTATACATAGTATCATTAACTATTATTGATAGTCAGAGATAGTACACAGTGTAACCATCAATTAGTAACCACATACCAAATTTCATCACATCCCACCACAGGTGTGGCCTTTATAGCTCTATAAACATTCACACACAGATACAATCACACACACATCCACTCATACATTCACTTCTATAACGACTTTATTTGGATTCAGGGGGACCAAAAACGGATATATCCACCTGATTTATATGAAGGTACTAATTCATATGTCAAGATTTTTTTGCATTTTTTGGAAGTTTTTTTTTTTAACTGTGATTTTAAAAACGGCCCAAACGATGTAGATAAAAATTTAGTATTACAGTCCTTCAAACTCTAAACAAAATGGTACAACCCCCAATTGCTGCAATAATTACAGTACGGTTCAACATTTATTGAAACTGTTGTTATTTTCTGTATAAATATCATAGATTCTCACACGCTTCCATGCGTATGAGGTTGTTAAAAAGTTAATGGTAGAAGTTTTTTGTCAAATTTCTGATATCGTTTATTTTTTGTTATCTTGCTAACTTAATCTCATAATTTAAATAAGTATTATATTTCTTAGTTATAATATGGAAATGACCTACCATTTTTAAATCCCCATTTTTGGCTGCTCGTACGATCCCGTCTGATGTTTTTTCCAGAAGATTGCTGTGGAAAAAATGTTAGGTTAAAACACACAAACACACGAAAATCAAATAAAAACTTTACATGCTCCCAGTTTTGTTTTTCATGATTCGTTTACTATTTTATTAAAAATCTATGTAATTTTGAAGGTTATGTAGACTTATTGATCTTTTCCATTTTGAATGTGTAATTCAATTGCAAAACTCCCCTAGTTATGTTTTTTATTTCAGTTTATTTATGTTTATTCAGACATACATCTTTGTTTAAATTTAAATTTAAAATTTATTGATGGGAAAATTTTCTTAAAATATAAAATTACGAGGTATCTATGATAGTCATTTGTGGGGATAAAAACAGTTTTCTTTGATTTTATAACATTCCTATTTGTAAGAATGGCTGTTTTATTTTTATTTTTATTAAACTTTCATTAATTTTATGTTTATGCAAAGGGACAAGGGGGCCCAACATACAATTATTATATTAATGAAATTGTTGAGCAAAGTTATTCAACCAATGTGTGGTTTTGTAAAATGTAATTTGCTTTTAATGTATTATTTTTCTGTTAACTTTCTCTTTTTTGGTAGCCAAAAGCATTAATACGCATTGCACAATTCATATCCAAACACAATGTTAATATTTAGTGACACACCCAAAAGTTGCAATGAAAAGTGGTTTTGTTATTACTGTAATGATAATTTGTAATTATTGAGTGTTTTATTGATAGAGAATTGATGTGCTTGAATTTCAAGGTGCACAAAACAACCAGAATGTTCAGATATTATATTTATACAACTATTAACTTATTACAAAAAATCTACCTATGCTTTTTCACGAAGTGAAATAAAGTCTTTATTTCACATGCAACAACAGAAATTGAATGTTTGGTTTTCTAACAACCCCAGCAACATGTAGATAATATATATTCTTTCTAAATTTAATTTAATTAGTGGAAATATACATTTTCTACTATCAAAATCATGAAATATAAACTCATTGAAAATTAATCCACATAAATATTTAATTGACATAAAAATATTTTCTTCAAACGGAGACTATGCACATACAAAATATATTTAAAAAAAAGAATTTGAAAAATGATTGACTTTATTTAAATATTTCAACTACAGCATACCATATAAAAATGTTGCAATGCAATTTTTAACAGATCTTGAATCCCATAAAATTAGGCCTGACAATGTTAAATTTCATTAGACTATTTTCATGCGGTCTATATCTGAACATTCTTCAAAAATCATAAATAATGCTTTTTAAACACTTTTTAATGTGCATATTAGTTACTTTTATATGTTTTCAATAAGCAATTTATGCTTTAAACATTTCAAGCCACACTTTGTGCCAAAGTTTATGGATCAAATCCCCTACTTACAAGTGACTTACCGATAATTAAATAAACCTAGGCCAAACAAACGCTCTTGGACCTTGCTGTGCATGCAAAAACAAACAAACATTTAGCAAAATGCAAACATTCTGTTACAAAATATATCGTCCCATTAGCCATCATGCAGCAAGCATAGCAAACCTCAAGCGAAATGAACAGGAAGCAAACATACCATTGCGAGTAGCATAATGGACAGCACATGCTAGCAATATACAGAGAAAGTTATTTAATATGTACAGTATTTACAAATTAAATCAATTAACTAGTTTAATTTGTTACAACACATGAAGTCCTAACGTAAAAAGTCCTAAAGAGTAATAGCACATTTCTAAAGACTATTCTAACTAGCTGTTAGTAATATAATGTTTAATATTGGTATGACTCTAAAACTATTTCTAAAAACAGTTTAAAATTTCACTATAAACATATTTTATTTTATTTTTGTTCTAAAATAGTGGTAAAATATTAAAACTAAATTTACTAAAAATCTATAGCACAACAAGAAATTAATAAAATACAAATTTTTAAATGTATACAAAACTTCTGAAAATAATCAAAAAGACAACAAGTTTTGTATTTTTTAATGTTATACATGTACATTATGTATTGCAAGATCAGTCTATAGTAATTTATGAATATAAAAAGTTCTATGAACTACACTAATTGAAATTCAATAGGCCTTCAATAAAAATTACAAAAAGAATATTACTTGAAAAATCTCATGCTTTAGTTCAATCTATTCTGGGATTATTAACTATTATTGTTTAAATTTAGAAGCCTTTATAAAAATTCTGCAACATTAATTCAACAGAATTGAGTTAAAATGTGAAATTAAAAAAACTACTACACTTAATGTAATATCAGCCCCAAGGAAAACTTAATTTAATAATTAGGTAAACTTTTATTTTAATGAAAATGCATTTTGTTCAAAGTATATAAAATTATTATTATTTTTAATTATCATTCCATTTGGCTATGTGTTAATTGAGTTCAAAACTTTGTTAACTTTTTTTTATTGGTTGAATAAAAGACAAAATTTGTCTAAAAATTGTATAATACTATACAAAGTTTATTTACATAATTAATAGAACAATATTTACAATAAATATAATCTTCAATAAAACTATTGTAAATATGAATATCACAAAAGGTGTTAGGAATATAATCAGATAAATCTACATGGTTGTGTTTTGTAAATATATCTCTACATAAAACAGGAAATCAATTATTAACACTGTACAAAAAAGTTTTTATAGATTTAATGAAAATGATTTCTTGAACCATGGTAATAATGTTTTGGCAATCAAAAGGTCAGGGAAAGCTACTGAAAGTTTGGTGAAATTTGAGTTAACATTGCAAAAGTTTTCTTGGCTAAGTATTTGTATTGTATAATCTACTGACTACACTACAGAAATTTGATCTAAACTATTTTAGCCACCAGCTAAAAATTAATATAACATCTAATGTTGAGTCCTTGAAAGAGATAATTATTTTGCTTAGTATCCAACATATATAAAATAAATGTTTTAAGCCAACTGATATGCTTACTTTGATTTTCAACAATGAATTACTTATTTGAAACAATACACATTTTTACAATTTAATTCAACAAATATTGGTGTTACAGTTTGTCATGACAAAACATTTATATATATATATATCACATACCTACATTTTTATCGTGCTGATTTTAATTGGATTTATTTGATTTGATTTATCTTGCACATTAAACTTAAAATATGAAGTTAATAATTGAGCCTTTTGGCTTGAATTTAAACTTTAAAATAATTAGATTGTTAAAATAATGAATAAATAATATTGATACAACAAGTAAATGTTGTAAAAAAACTAATTTTATAAACCATCTATTTAAAAAAAAAGGTTTGAATAAATTGTGAGAATAAACTTAATACACTAAATTAGTTGAATAAAAAACATAAAACTTTTTTTAAATGAAATATAGTTTTTTCTTTCAAAGCAAACATAGGACCTAATTAAGGTCCTTTCATAGAGTTAACATTTTATTAATAATGGAACAGTAGTAACAGTATTGTAAATAAAAAATTATTAAATTATTTATAAAAAAAATAATAAATTATAAGGATTTTTATAATTTATATAACTAACGATATTTAAAGTTTTAAAAACTTATGATTGACAAAATTCCATTTTATCATTGATTAATCACCGTTATATATACTCAAACTCTGGCAAAATTTTAATTAGTAAAATATAGGCAAACATAAGTAGCGCAAAGTAATAAATCAATTTTAAATAAAATTGTGTTTGTTATTTGTTTCCTAAATCAAGTCAGAGATATAACTCAGAGATAAAACTATATTTCTATAAACAATGAGATTCCCATTTTTAGGTGCATTAAACCTTCAAACACAACTTGCTCTATACATAGGAGGAAATTCTTAAATTAAGTTATTACTGTATTAATAAAAACAATATAATTATTTAAATAAATAAATTATTCTGTATAAGTGTGTTGAATCCTACTATTGATTAACCTTTTTTGGTTAAAGAACAAGTGAGAAAAATGTGTATTGTAATAATTTGAATAATTTTATAAAGAGTGATTGGTGTAATGATTATGGAAAGGTTTTAAGAAAGGGAATGGAAGAATATTTAATTACTAATATTTTGAAAACTTCTAAAGATTATATAACATTTGCTATCCTAAAAAAATTGGATGAACTTAGAACAATATAATTTATCTTTTACAGAAATTAAATAAAATGTTTGTTTTAAATTTTAAAGCGCAGCAGCAACTATTCCTTTTCTTTCTGGTATATCTTTGGTTGCATTTTAATATTAAACATTTTGATAATTATATTGCAATCCAATTAACAAAAAATGTACTCTTATTATACAAGAGATGATATTTTCAATTTTTTTCAGAAGTTAACGATTTGTTGAAATAGCTTAAATGCTTAGGTTGTTCACTCTTGATAGGATTTTTTAAATTTAAAAACTTTTTAATAGTACCAGTAAAAAATATTACTCTCTTATATGCAATTTTAAAACACATTCAATGTTTTTCTTTAGGTAATACAAAACCAATAATTTTAAACTATTTAACCTATCTTAACAAAAACATTCTCATGAATCTTTAGCCATAACAAAATACAAATATTGTACATGCAAGTGGCCTTAAAAAGCCTAAATAATTTAACAAATTGTGATGGAAACAAACATCTAAAGCGACATTTAACATCAATACATTCATAAAATTCTGTATACAAAAATGTAAAAATGTAAAACATTTATAAAACATTATATTTCTCTATAGATAAAAATATAATTTAATTTTTGAAAAGGTAAATAAATTATTATTTATTTTAATTTTTGAACATATAAATATAATCATGTAATCATTTTACATTAACAATTCATTCAGAAGCCAACATTTATTACATCCATTTTAGTCAACGTAAGCTCACAAATAAACTCAAAATTGAAAAAAAAAATATTTAGGCCTATACATAGGCTAACATTTAATTAAGAATTAAATTTGCAAAATTGTATAAATAAATAAATTCAAATAAACAATAAATAATTATTGTAAATAGTTTATAATCACATAGATTATATGAAAAATTAAATAAATAAATTATAAAATATAAAATTAATTGAATTAACTTTTTCAATTAAATATTAATTATTTTTGTTATTATTATTTTATATAATTTATGATACTACTAAAAGCCTTACAAAGTGGTTAACAATTTATGGTTAGTCACTTCATTGATTTTGTTTAACTGTAGTAACAATGAAAACACAGTTAAAACTGTTGATTAAAAATCATCCTGCTATCAATTAATAAATTAATTTAAATTTAAACTTAAAACTCCTTTATTTAATGAAATTATGAAAATAATATCATAACTTCTGTTTGAAAAAATATAGTTATTATAATATATTTGTATTTGTTTATTTTAGAGCTGAATTTTGGTTAAAGCTAGAAATAATTATTACTTTAAACAGCTTTATTATTTTAAGACACAAAAGAATTTCTAATTTCAGTAAAAGTGTTCAAGAGAAATATTTAACCTTAAAATCCTCAAACAATTTTACTAATTTTCTAGTAAAATTTACTATAAATTTACACAATTTCGTTTTTTTAACAATTTAAATTTTTCTATTTACCATTTTTTTTATTTTTATTTTTTAAACGTTATCTAAAAAATTTTCTTAACCAATTTTCTTCATGGGTTTAAATTTATAAGCCAAGATAGAAATAACTTATGGAGGTTTTGTGTTCATCAACATTTTGGACAAATCGTACGTGACATACGAGACAAATATCAAGAAAGACAAAATATTGTAACTGTTTAAAATAATTAAGCATTTTAAAACTTTAAGATTTTTTATTTGTGAGCACACGTTACGCGGGCCGACACATAGCGTACCTAATGTAGTTGGTAGTTCCGGCGACGGGAGATCCGTCGATGGGGGGTTCCGGTGGTGGGGAGGGCGGAGGGCTTGACGGTGTCCCTAGTGCGGAGCTCGGCAGAGTCCCTAGGGCGGGGCTTGACGGGGGGCTCCGCGGGGGCCTCTGAGGTGGTGAAGATTCTAGCTCCAGATCTATCGGCCTCTTAGGCGATTCCTCACTCGGACTACATAGACCAATAGTCATAACTTTAAGAATCTCTGTGTCATGCAGATTCAAGCTCATGCATGTTAGTGATTTATTGATCTTCGCCAATTATTTGCTTCTACAGAACATAATTTCTTAAATTGGTCAAGGACACTTCAAGGAATTTATAATTTTTACTTCACTACATTTGACTCTCAATCACACCACACTTATGGAACTCAGGAGGATGTTCAATTACCTTGAAACTCTGGTTAACAAAAAAATCTTATTACAGTTCGGCCGCTTAGAAAGCGACCTCCTCCAACATTGGTTTAGCATTAGCGCGCAGGTCGTTTTCTAAGCGGCCGAACTATAGTCAAGTGGTTATAGTGATTGCCTTTAATTCTATAAGTCTCTTGTTCGATTCCAATGAAGATAAACTTTTTTTATATAAGAAATTATGCAGAAACAGATTTAGTCATAGGGGTTGTAAATACCCAAATCAAAACTTGAAACAGGACATTTTTATATTCAGAATCCAGATAATAATTCCTATACTATTTACTGTCATAAATACTGTTAAATGTTTGGGAGTACATGATTCATGAGAAAAAAAATAATTTCTAAATCTTTTCAAAACTCCAAATAGGAGACAAGAATTATGTTATACCCTCATGGTAAAAAACTATTCCAATATTGAATTATGTAATTTTTTTACAAAAAAATCTACCTCTTACTATAAATGACTAAAAAACATCTTATGCTAAAATATAAAAATAACATCAATATACAATATTTTACAAATATATGAAAATATAAATCCACCATAGATAAATCTAAACAGGCAAATTGTTTAAAACTATGAATAAAAACACGAGAATCTTGTCAGAAGACTATAACTTCAGCTAGAAGAAGCAGGAACTGAAATACAATTGTAAATACAAAATTATGATGAAGCCCAAGAGGCCATGCACCATACTAGAAGACCTCTGGAAGGCTAAGGAAGAATAAGTTAAAAGAAATAGATGAAGTGACTGACTTTACATGCAATAAGTACAAAGCGAAAAAACAATATGTATACAATACAAAATTGAACCAGGTGCTAAAGGTGCAGTTCAGCATTCAGTGAAAAATTTATTTAAATTTTGTTTATTTTTGTTTTTAGCGTATTTGTGTTTTTGAATATTTTTAAATTGTGAGTAAGTTACCTATATGATTTTAAATGGGAGGATCTTTTGTATATATTTGACATGTAAATCATTAAATTAATTTAACTTTTATAGTTTTTTAAATTTATGTCAATGTAAACAGATAGATAGTTACACAATTAAGTGTATAAATACATAGAACAATTTTTAAGAGTTGAACAAATTCAAAATCTTCAATCCCTCCAACCACCTGCACCTTCCACATAAAAATGGAATTAATTTAAATAAACTACGAATCTAGACGACACAAAAATGATTTGGAATATCTACAATAGATTAAGAGGGTACGAGTACGTAATTAAAATATATTACTATATAATCTGAACACGACATAGGAAGTAGAAGAGTAGATGTTGATCCCACTGTCAGCACCAGACCGGGCCGAAACTTATCGACAGCAAGTGGTTTTGGGTCGGAATCCTTCTCTCGAACAGACCAAAATAGTCGTTAGGACCCAGTGAATGGAATTGTTGACTTTTGGATACTGAAGTAGTCATCTCATCTATACAGGGTGTCCAAAAGAAAACTTTTCAGGACTTTGTGATCAAGCCTCATACCAAAAGAAAAAAAAAAACTTATATGAATGTATGTCCAAAAACATATATTTACCCAGATATCCGCCATTTTATTTTGTAGACATAAACATTGTTTGTTTTGAAAATTTTCATTCAATCTCGATGAAACTTGGTACGTTTAAAGAGGTCTATGTTAGGAAAAAAATTGATTTGGTCCAATATGAAATCTCAATGGACCATCGTAAAATTTCATTTTGGTTTACAGGTATAGTGGGGGAATCATATCCAAGGTCCTGAAACGTTTTTTTACACCCTGTATAAACTAGCTGTTGTACATTTTTTATTCAATTTAGAGTTGAGTTGAAGAGCCACTAACATTGTGTAAAGTTGTCAAAATTATATTCCCCCCCCCCTTAATTTTAGGTACCATGACACTTGATGTGAAATGTCTACTTCAATCAAAAGTCAAAGATGGAATAAGCGCTTTTTATGATGTTTTGGTAGACTCCTTTTAACAGGTGATTCAAAATTTTGTGACGTATTTCTTTTTTTATAAACTACAAATTTCTCTAGCTTTTAGGTCAAATTTTATTAAATGGTTAACTTCCTATACACAAAAAATAATGCAGTATACCCTCCATAATTTGGCACCTACAGACTTCGGGTATCGGGACATCAATCGGACAGCAGTCCATGAAAATTACATACAGGTAAATTAGGAATGTGCAACTGTAAATTAAGCAGTTTTGTTGAGTTTGAGTAGTAAACTTTTTTTGGTAGTGTATAATTATGAGTAACAAATTGGTTCTGGAATGGTTCTACCTTTCTTCATTAAAGTTTTTTTATTTTATTTGGGTTTCTGTATTAATATGAACGACTGGGATTCAAAGTTTGTCCAGGTGACTGTAGTCAGTAAAGCTTATCCCACTTCATTTTCAAATCAAAGCTCATACTCAGCTTTAAATATGTAAAAAAGTAAATCACTGTGCCAGTGAATGGTTTAATTAAAGCATTCTAACATCTGAACAAACCTGTGCGGAGGTGAATGGATATATTATGAAGGTTTATTGGAAATTAGAATGTATGTCAGTTAGTAAGGAGTCTACCGTTACATTAACAAATAATGTAATCTTTAGCACAATAATTGCAGGGAAGACTGCCTATGCTGAAAGTATGTTAACTGATATTAAAGTAACAAATCATCGGAAATTAGAAAAATTGTAAATACTTTTTATTGAAATGGCGACTATAGAAAGGTATATTATGCCAAGTATGAATAGAGATGAGTCATAAGTATCTGTATGAAAAGTTGATTTTGTTGTGTAAGCCTTGTATTAGTGAAGGAGATTTTTTTTTATTTACAGCAAAAAAGTATTTAGACAAATTTAAATAGATTAAGTTAAAGAGAGTAAAACTGTTAAGCCTAAAGTTAGTTTCTATTGGAATATGTTTATCAGGATTTGGTATTTTTATTGTAAAATCTAAACTATGTAATATGCAGTTATTTTTGTAAAAAAGTTGTATGTTTTTCAAAAGTGAAATAAAAATTAAAATACAGTACATGTATATTGAAATTTATGACATTATATTGTTCAAAATTGTAAGTTATGTAGTGAAAAGCAGATGAATTTATGAAGTAAACTTGGTTAGAATAACCAACTGCTTGTTCACTCACTTTCCTAATTGATCTACTTAATAGTGTCAGTAAACCCATTTTTAGAAGTGTAAATACGATTGAACAATATATAAGAACATAAATATATATTTACTTTCATCATATTTTGTATCTATGTAAATTTTCCCAAAGGTTTTAAGTCCAGGTGCAAGCTTTCAATTCTCTGTTTATTTTTCCCAAACCCCCTCCCATCCAAACATCCTATGTTATTCCATTGGCTGCAGTTACATAATATTCAAAATGTGACAACAATTTTTTTTGCATATGTTGAAATTTTTACGCCCAACGTGTTTTCTGTTAAGGTGTAATCTGTTTTTCATTGCTTTGCCCAAAGTTATACAAGATTCCTATAGATATCAACACAACAAAACTGAAAAAGATTCTCCAAAAGGTTCGAAAATCAGAAAATGTCAGTACAAAAAGACCCCTCGACAATTTCTTCAAACCACCTCAATGGTAAATTTGTTTTAGGCATAAAATACCCAGCCTTCCTGCATTTAAATCAAGCTGAATTGCTTTGTGATGAGATATATTTACACACAGTAGTTTCCATAAACATTAATTTACCATGTGGGCCACAGCCAATGGGTTAACAGACACCAAAGTACCCTAGACACAGAACATCCAATGGACTACTCCAGGAAAGCAGTTAAAAAATCTTTACTATCTCAGACAAAATAGTAATATCAGTCCACCTTTAATTTTCTTCCCAATCCTTTCCTCTACGAATACAGTATAACTCCTTAACCAGATCCTTCAACTGAAACCTGTGTTAAATGTTAATCGGGTAAACCAAAACGCTTGGGAAGATGTGAAAACAATCATTTGATATTACCTAATTGTGGTAGATGTTAATGATGACAGGCTAAGACCACATTTTTAATGCATTTAGGGGTTGTTTTGCCAACCTAACCTCCAATCATACATCATTGGAGGAGGGTTTAAAATACAATATTTTATTAGCTTTCTATTAAAATTGATCCTTCCATTAATTATCCTTTCAAATAAAGTTAGGAAGTTTGGCTATCCAAAACAGTCTTCCCTCCGCTATTGTAAATAAGTGGGAACTGTATTTCAAATACTTTCTTTGGCAAAAGATTTTCTGCGTCTAGTGTACTACCTAAAATATTCCTCTACCATAATAATCAACAGCACCAATCTCTCCACCTTAAAATAAAATTTAGTAGCAATTTCAAAATTTTTAACTACATTCTGGAAAGTTTTGTAGTTGCAACCTCTAAGTTGGCATACCTGAGTTCAGGCGTCGTCTGTTCTCCTGGTAGACTGCTTGGGGACTGATGGTTACTGTTCACCGGGGAAAGGAAAGCAGTTTCATCGTCTGGCGTTTGCGGCAGTGTGTCCAACACGTACAACGCATCATTGGCAATGTCTGTCAAGTAGTGAAGATGTTCTTGTGCTCGATCCACCCGGAAAAACCTCTCTGCCGTGCAAGCTGCAAGAAAATTTTGTTGAAGTGACAAAATTTATCATGTACATTGTTAACAACTATAAATTCCATTTAGAAAATTAGATTTTAAATCAAATTTTACCATAGTAGGTAGCCAGGTTTAGGGTTGTGGAATTTTTTTATACAGAAGTTGATACCAACTTGACGAAGCAATTTCTTGGATGGTTTCTGGGGGTCCTGAGTGATTAAAGCACCTACCCTTATAAAGTAAACTAAAACAACCCTAAGCTAGGTTTTATCATAATGACAATATTGTAATAGCACTATGAATAGTGGTAATGTACTTCTGACCACATGGCAAATTCTCTAAAAAATTATTATGACAAAATAGATAAATTTGGGGGAGGGTGACAAATTTAAAGTGAAGCTCATCCTGTTTTGGACAAAATTTATGTTTTCTCTCAAAACCTGGCGATTATAAAATAAACCATGAAATAATAATTTATTTGCATTAAAAGGCTTTTGATTAGCAAAGTCTTTTCATTACCTAGTTTTTTTAATTAGTAGAAGTCAAATACAGTACGATATAATCTATTCATGCCATGCTCATGCGTTATCATGCTTAACTGTAAGGTATTTTACTAATCTAAACAATTATACTTGTTGCAGTAAACTATGGTGGTATGTATTTGTATTTGTTAGTGGTTTTTTAAAATTATTTACGGTAAGAAATTTTTTATTACATTATTGGAAACAAAAAATTATTTCAATGATAAATGTTACTTTTGAAATAAAATGAGATTTAACTAACTTAAGAGTTAAAACAATTTACAAGCAAATTTAGTTACTTTAATCAACTTTTAAGTAACTTTATTTATAGAATTAGGAAAGTTTGTTTCACAGTAACTTTGAAAATCACTTACAATCCACAAAACACCAATCAGGTGATAGTTTTGGGCAATTCTCAGAAGGTTCTGAAGAGTTTTCTTGCAGTTTGTTAACCATTTGACGAACTTGTTCTAAATCGGCTACCGGCGCAACTTCTATTTCACCCATTTTTATAGCTGAAACATTGCATAAGAAAAATCCAAAATTCATAAACAAGAAATTGGGACCTAAATATAAAATGATTTATTTTAATAAAATTCACAGAGTAAATATGATTCAAATTTTTATTGAAAAAAGTCGAAATTCATGCAGATTTGAGTGACAATGCATTGTGTGAAAGTGTATGTGTCAGGGAAGACTAAATTGAAGAGGGTGCAAGCATTGTTGGGTTTTTAAAAGTCAAATTAAGTCATAAAAAATTAATTTGAAATTCAAAACCGGTTTGTGAAATTATTTTTGTAAAATTATTTAGGTAGTTTAATTTGATTTAAATTAATTGTGTTAATCATAAAATTTTGTCTTTAGGAATGTTTTTAGTAAGAGTAATTATTACTGGTAAAAATATTACCACAAGATTTAAAGTAAGTAAGTTAAAGAAGTTTTTTATCATATTTACTAAATCCCACTTCAAGTAATGTATTAAATTTGGGTAGTACCTACCAGTTGGTAAACCACCCTAAAAATTTTAAAGTTATTTTAATAGTGGTTTTTTAAATGTACTCAAAATAAATATGCATATAATGTTTTTTAGGTAAAACATAGTCAAAATGAGCAAGTTAAGTGAGAAATAACTTACAAAATCATAATTCATTATTCAGTAAAAATAAAGTTAATAAAAATTGCCTATTCAAGACTAAATGCTTTTGTCTACTTACACAATCTTCTTAAATTAATTTAAGAAGTAATAGAGACTTCATCAAATACTTACTGCACAGATTATAAATACGTTCCATAAAGTAAAACAGTTTTAGGTTTAAATTATGTTATTATTTCAAAAGAATAATGTTAGTTATACAGTATTCTATATTTAAATATTTGATCAAGTCTCATGTAATGGTGACATTTAAGTCTGCATACACCTTTATTCAACATTTAAACTACAATTAGAGAAAAAACTACCATATTCATCACCATTGTTGAAAGTAATTAACTACTGGAAAAATGCTATAAACCAGAGTTTAAAGAGTTAATTTGATGGGTAGTTATGGCCATTGATAAAAAAAAAACATTTTATTTAAAAATGTTTTGAAAACATCACCTTCTGCCACTTAAAATTTTGATTTCAAAGACTGCACTTTGAAGGTAGTTATGAGGAATATCTTTTAGCCATGAGTTTAGCCATGAGTTTCTCACGTCAAAGAAAAGTCACAGCTGCTTCAGTTAATTCAATTTGTATTTTAAAATGTTAAATCACATAGAAATTCAAAAGGCAATAAACTGAAATTCAAAATAAATCTTTGGAAGTCTTTGGTGAAGCTTTTTAAAATATAAACAAAGCCTTTTATTTGAATTAAATTAAAATGTTATACAAATGCTATTTAAATATTTTCTTATGACACCTGGTGGGTTGTACCTTAGTTGGGTAATTTTTTTACAGTAATTGAAACCTAAAGAAGGTTCTGCCTCCGGTTTTGATGTATGGACTTTAATTGTTCTCTATTGTAGTTTTAAATTGTTTAAAGGGGTTACAAGACTTAACTATTTCAATATGTATAACTTGTACGAAAATATAAGATTTCTATCTAAAGATGTACTATATAAGAAGTAGATATTGTGCGATTCCATGCAGTTCTTGTTCTGTTTACCTCCACGTATCGGTTCTCTTCTCTGATCCTCTGTGATAAAAACACTTGAGTTCAGTATAACTCTATTGCAATATTTTGCTGTTTTTTCAAAAGAGTCTTTAAATTCTAAGTCTATAATTTTAAAATTTTTTTAGTCGTAAAAGTAAGTACATAGTGCAGAATTTTAAGGCATTGAACACTAGGAAAGACGTTATTTGTTATTTGGTATTTTGGTTGTTTTATGTGAGTACTCAATGATTTTGCATAACTATTTTACTTATTACTTGACAAAAGCCTTGCTAAATAAATATTATCTGATAATTAAGATGCAGTTTATTTTTGGACCACTTCATAAAACCTTACTTGAATTTATCAGATAGTTAATTACATTGGCAAATATACTCTTAGCTATCTTTAAAAAAAATCTGCAAATATCCTCATTGACATGTATTAATGGATACTGTCAATAACAAAAATTAGACGTTGGTACCATACTTAACCTTAAAGTTTACAAAATATTCACCTTGTTCCTTTAGTATTCTACTATATCCCTACTATATACATCTATTTTAGAATTGCTCATAGAAAAGCCTAATTTTAGCTACTGTACTATAACAAGTAATAATCATAGAATAACTAAACTAACCTGCTTGTTTGAGGAGGGTTTTGTCGTAGTGATGTTGTTCGTAATCCGCCATGCTTATTCTGTACACAGTAACTCTTAGTTGATCTAGCGTAGCTTGACTGAAACATAACAATGTATTTTTAGTCAATGACATAAGGAAAATCACTGTCATGACATTTTGATAGAAGATGTCGTTAAGACTGAACAGGACATAATCTTACTCTCTGCATCGGTGCTTTGTCAGACCCTCTACACAAAAGGTTTCCTCTTTCACCAACATCATATGTACTACGAAGTAAGGTACATGTAGTTAAAATGTAAGGCTACCAGTGCTCATCATCAAATCTAAATATGTCACTGTTTTAACAATGAGCGAAATTTGTTTTGCACCAAGATGAACTAATAATTTGGGTGTGTTGCTAGCCTGCAGAAGGGACAACTGTTACAATTCCTGGGCACATCCACAACACTTTATTCTCACGTTGACCCCTTGTTAAATTCCACTGGCGTTTTGGCGTAGAAAAATGAGAAAAAGAAGAAAAATATACAGTACTGATCATTGTTTTAGGTTAAATTTTAATGATGGTAAGTTCATGATCTTGTAGACGTTTTCCAATTGGTAAAAAACAAAGTTTTCCCCACGTTTAATGATCTGGAATAAAATTTACCTCAGAAGAGAAAATACCTAACAAAAACAATTGTAACATCTGCCCCTAAAAATATATGAAAAACATCATTCAACATAACTCTGAAACGTCACTAACATGGACCAAATAAAATGGGCTTCTCATTTTACAGTATGAGAAGTAAAACATATTGTTAAATGGAAATCAGTAAATAAATAAGTCCACTTGCACTGTTCAAAGTCAAGATGAGAAGTTACCGACATTACATATGGATAGTTGGATACCAATATTGTCCTGTCAATCAGACATTGGTCCAATCAGGTCAATGACAATCACAAATCAATCACATACGTGACATCTGTACTTGATTAGCTTGGTAAATCAAACATCAAAGTTCGTTAGTTTTCGAAAACAGTTCCTTATCAGTGGAGAGTGACTGCAGGAATATTTTTAGGGAATCAACTCAATTTCTTGTTCCAGTGGTTGGCGAAAAGGCCTCTTATGGCAAGTAATTTTAGTGATAATGCTTTAATAGCTATTTACATTACAAGTGTAGTAAGAGCGTTTTTACATCACACTCTTGCGTAACGTCTAACGTACAAGATTTTACCTGACCCGACAATATACAGGGGGTTATGTACAATATTTTTCATTATCTATTTCACTCATCTTCTAACGTTCTTTTACAAACAAAAGCTAGGTTAGGATAATTCTTTAACAAGCTATAGGTTAGGATAATAAAGCATAACAATAAAATTCAAGCGCACAGCTGATTTCTAGCATTCAACGTCTTTGGCTCCATAGAGGTATATTTTTTAAAGTTTAGCACTCAATGTTATTTAAATGGGTTTTACTACCTCACCGAGTGAGTTTTTGAAACTTTACTTCACTCGTGAAGTAAAGAAGTCGTATACATCACGCTTGGGATAGGGAAGTTTAACATGGCGGGTTAGGTAAAAGTATTTGGGCTGTCTATACAAACCATAATTTATCTAACAATATATAGGTTGAACCTTGCTGCATTCTTATAAATAATTTGACATCTCAATATAGTGTAATGTACACTACCATAATCGTAACAGACAAAACAATTGAATCATTTACTAAACAGTTGTTAGTTTGCATTGACTAAGTTGAAAACAAGTTGGAAGTCGTTTTGAGAGGTTATTTTTACATGAACTTACGCTTTCTAACTAAGTTTATTAAATATGTTGCAATATGACGAAAAATATAGTTCATCACACATGCAAAAATGGTTTTTCAACCCTTGTTCATTTTCCAAAGTGAAGCCCGAGCTTAGATATAAAAGAGTCTCTTCACGCCTTCATCACTTCTTAGTGATGAAATATATGTATTATTTCAAGTTTTGAAACTGTACTAAGCTGTCTTGATCATAAAAGTTTTAAATAAATTAATCCTGACTAAGGAACAGCTGATATTATTCAGTATACCAAAGATACGTTCATCTTACTCCATCTTACTACATTTATGTTCAGCTCAAAATATGTACAAAAATTAATTGTCTTTCTGTCTTGATAAATCTTCTTTATATATAAAATCCAATGTATTATATATAAAATCCAATGTATGTTTGTATATTTGTATGTTTGTATATTTGTATGTTTGTCCTTTATGGACTCCAAAACCGCTCGACATATTGTAATGAAACTTTCAGGCATTATCAAGTATTATTCAAGGATGGTTTGTGTGAAGTTTGGTGCAGATCCGTCAATAGGGCTCCGCCCCAGTGGCTCTGGAGTTTCCCATGTTAACCTTATGAGTACTCATATTTAAATGGAATTAAAGAATCTTAACAGCTGGTGCAACTAAACAATTTGATTCTGTGATGTTCATAATAACATAATAGCATTAAAAAGTTAATAGGTTTACCAACAGGGTGCAGAACTATATTTATTTTTAATTTAACAGCTGTTTCAATTAAACAAGTTGGTTCTGTTCTATGATGTTCAATAGCATTAAAGTTACAAGGATTACCAACAGAGTGCAGCACTATAATTTTTTTTTATATTTGACAATTAACAGCTAATTTGAAACCAAAAGGTGAGTGAGTGTAGCAAACGAACTTCAACCCGGAGGCGAGGTAGCGTAGCGAACGAGCTAACCTGAAGGCAAGTGAGCGCAGTGAACGAGCTCCAACCGTAAAGGTGAGTGAGCGTAGCGAACGAACTTCAACCAGGACGTGATTGAGCAATGCGAACAAGCTCACATATGAAGTTAAACGGGGCAAAGCCCGAGGGTACAGCTAGTTCATTATAAATATCATTATACATAAAAAAAATTTTAACATACATACATATATAATAATTTTAATAAAACATCACAATATTTATCCTGTAAATTGTAGAGACAAATATAATATTAGACAACGTTTATATTCATGGAAGAGTCATATTCAATATGATATTCTGTGAATGAATGACACAGTTGTATAAAGCGATTAAACACAGAACTACAAGGGTTTCATTAAGGTCCACTCCGTAGAGACTCATGCATCAGTTGACTCCGTCTCTAGAGTCTTAAACCATCTCTAGCTGAGAGCGAAGTGGAGATAATATTTGATTAATTTCACGCTGAATGTCAGTCTAAGAACCATATTATTATTTGGATGATGAAAAATTAATCATGTAGCTTTTGATGAATAGGTTTTGAATCCAGATATAATGATAACCAGTTTTGCGAAGTTTGATAAACATTATGTACCGTATAGGAGAATGGTTGCAATGATTTGATTTGTTGAGGTCTGTAATAATACATAAGTAGTGTTCACCTTGTGGTCGAAAACTCAACCAAAAATATGTATTATGGAAAATTCTCTATTTTGCCCCACGCAGTAAATAAAACATGTGATTGGAATTTCTTCCATTTGTTATGATTTTCTGTTTATATTTCGCCACCAGCATGGCAACCCATGAGGCCAATGTGAATTCTTTTGTATTTTGAATAAATTTTTCGTATTTATTTTTTAGCGTTATTTTAATGGATTCTGAACAACATCTACAGGCAAATATCTGTCTTACAGAATGCGTAGATTTTCCCTGCGATGCACACAAGCTGAGAAAAAAGGTTTTAAAGAATAATTTTTGACAATAATATATAGATAAAGAATTCATAAAAAATCATAAGTATGTAAAAAGTCCATACACAATTTGTATTGTCTTTTAAATTTGTGACAGTCTAAATTTATCATAGACATTATTAGGAAATGATAATCATTAAAAGGGTAAAATAAAAAAATCTGTACACTATATTTATATAATAATTTAATTACAATTTGCTTTAATATTATTTGGGAATGTTAATATCAAGTTTGAATTTATTGAATTAATGCAGTCTATGTGGACGGGCAAATGCAAGGTTAAAAAGACCGCCAACCTCTAAAAAATTTTTTTTTTTATTAATATTATGTCACCTTGATTCTCATTATTCTCTTCAGACTTTATAAATGAAAACACCTGTCTTAATTTATTTTTAAACCTCTTCTTCAGCATCAAAATATCGAGTTATATATTCACATTTGCATTTTCACATTCAAAGTCATCGCTATTGAACAATCATAGACTCAGAGCAAGTTGAATAGTTTTTTTCATAGGACGTCAGGCTCTAACCCAGGATCGTTTTTCACATTACTTTAGGCTAGAACTAGGGGCTGCGGCATTATCACTTAGATAACATTCTACGGCGATTTTGTCGGATTTGAACCTGGAACCTACTCGTGCTCTACCAGCTAGACTCTTGACTCACTAAGAGATTAGAGTGTAGAGATTTTTTCCAACGCTGACACATCAGAATGAAAATTTGAAGTCAAGGAAGAGTGAACTATGAGTATTGAATGAATGAGATGACAGCCTTTTTTAAAAGACAAAGATCAGCTGTTTCCTTTAGCGAAGATCATTTTTTTAATATTATGGTTCCAGCTATTAACAGCTGGTTCCAGTATTAAAAAAAAAAAACATTTACAAACAACGATAGTTACTTTTGGACACTTACGGAACATTAGGTTTGCCGCCGCGTCTCTTCGCCAACATCGGGGCTTTGTTGAGCAGGTTCATAGTGATGATGGAAGGATTCAGCTTGCAGGCTTCACCATCAACCTAAAAATATAATGATCTTTACACATATAAAATTAAAATTAAACTTAATTTTAGCTTACTCATACAATTGGATGTATTCAAAAGTATTATAAGTGTGAACTATAGGGTTTAGGAGAAAGTAAGGCTTCTGCCACGTGTCCGTTTTCAAGAGTCTCACTCGACCCAACCATGATGAACGTTCAATAATAGTGTCTGTATATTTGTAAACATTATATAAACTTAAGTGGTGGAAACATTATTACAACATAAGAAGATGCCACACAAGCTTATGAAATATGATAAATATAACTACACTGTAGTAATCAAGAACAAAAGTAAAAAAGGTAATAACTTATTTAAATGATCAAGTTCATAAGCCTAGGATGGTTAAAAAATATGCTGCAACACGCCCTTCGAACATTTGATATTGCACAGTACAAACCAATAATACTCAGTAAAATTCAGTATGACTTCTATCCGTATCAGAAATTTGGATGTATTTTGGAGTGTTAAATGAAACGTTAACAGTATAACAAAAAATAATCATAAAGTAAATTAAAACTGTGATCAAACTATACCTGCATTGGGATGGTTTTTGTGGTGACAATTTTCGCTGATTGACACTGGCAGATCGTTGTTCCGTGACCTCCTGCTTGCAACAACGGCTGAAAACAGATACTTGTATAAATTGGAATTTACAATTCAATTACCGTTAACTTAAAATAATGAAAGTATAGAAAGTAATGTGTGACTTAAATAATATCACAAAACTTAAGATTTAAAGTGCAAAATTTGAGTAAGAATGTTTTGAATATTTTTATTGTCAGGTCAAGCTCTTACAGCCACCCTCATGTTTGGATGCCTTTGGTCTAGAGTTTGAATGGATTGAATAGCTATCTACTCAATCATTCGCGAATAGGATCTTATCTAACAGGGGCAGGTCGAGACCTTAAAGCACTTCATCCGAAATCAAATTATTGCGTACCAACCACCGCGAATAGGATTAGTTCCTGTATGTCAATAGCCAGGTAAACTAACTAGTCATAAGCTTTTTGATTCAAACTCTATTTAGTTTCGATAACATAATGGTCTACAGGTTTCCGAACGAGATTGAGTCAACCGTATGAAATATTTCATCCAATGAAAAATTACAACTGAAAATAGTTCAGTAACTCTTCAGTATTATTCCCAAAACGGTTTATAACTTTATATTATCTTTTCATTTCCAAAACTTTTTATTAACATTTCATAACACAGTATTAATTAGTTAATCTACTCACTAGTTGGTAGGTGGTAAGACCAACGACTTCTATCATTCCATCGTCAGTAGCTTGCTCCACCCCTTGCGCTCTATTCCAGGGATGCGTACCCCCTCCATAGCTGAAACACCAATAAGAGAATGTTGTCAAAGCAATGGTAAGACTTATTTTTCAACATACAGGGAGTCCTCAATAAGTAAAATGCACAACTCTGGAAAATATGGCAGCCTTTTCAAAGTCAAATCCCAGGAATTGAGCAATTATGTAAAAATTACATACAACATCAAATTTAGAGCTCTTTTACATCCCAATCCGACATTTCCATTGCAAACAATTAGTTAATAATAAACTGGTTTTGGCAATTTTAATATCAACTTCAAAATTGTTTGTAGTACACCACTGTAGTTTTGCACTATAGTGTAATCGTGTGTAATAAAAATATTCAGTCATCGAATCAAGTTGGTTTGAGTTATCAAAACCATTTTATTGAGAAAGAGACATGAAACAAAAATACATAAATTGACTCGAATTTAGTTGTCGCCCCCATGTACTTACAGACCTGTCTTTCCAATGGCCATATTAGAAATTTTTTCTTCACTTCGAGTGGGTATGTTATGTCTCTTACTCAATAGAACTGACGTATCTACCCAACTTAGATAAATGACTAGATATTTCTAGGTAGTCAGCACAGGATCACTTGATGGAGCAAGGTAATTTAAACCATTTGAGCTAAAAATCTGTGATTTGCTATTCCACCATGTAAAAGATTTTGTTTGATGTTTAATGGTCATACCTAGGAATGTTTAGGAAGACAATTGCATGAACTTTGTGTTCCTTGAGCTTGGGCGTCATATCCTTGCCATCACACTCTAACGTCACCAGGTCTGCCAACCCCTTCCACTTCCGTCTCAGCAGATCCTTGCCTCCCATCTGACCGTAGAACATCTTGTTTCTCAGTCTGGAGTTGAACCTTTCAGGATGAGCCTCTGAAAGAATATTTAAAAGCTTGAGGAGTTGTAAATGGGTGATACAGTTTTTGAACATTCTACCATATGAAGTCAAGGATAAAAGAATCTAAAACAAAATTGCAGTGAAATGGCTTCTGGATTAATCCATTGAAGAATTTGAAAACTGGATTAACATTCATTACACCATCCTTAAATCGTTTTTATCCTTCACATTCGAAAATTCTATGTTGTAGTACTGGAACTGTTTTTATACATAACGTCAGGCTATGTGTAAATGTGTAGAGGGTTCTTTGACCTCTAATCCCTCAGAGTGTTGCGGCTTTATCACATTGATCAAATCCATTGGTGATTGGTGATAGAGATTACTTTTTTTTAAGTACTCAATTTTGTATAGCATGAAACAGCTTGAATTGAATCAAAATACAAAACAAAAGATCACTCTGATAACAATACATGTAAGTTTGTCAATTCTGGCAAGTGAGGCCAACTCCTACTATCCAATCAGATAGTTTGATTATACCCAATCAACCAATATCTAATTATTCAAACACAATACAATTTTTTTTTTATCAATTTGATCTAAAACTACCACATTCTCACCTCTCGCTTCGTGGAACTCCAGCGCGATGTGAGCGTCCACACCGAGGGAGAAGTAATTGTTGACGACATTGAGAGGAAGACTCTCTTTGCCCTCTTCGTTGGGTTCCACAGTCGAGTTCTTTTCCACCGTGAGCTGCCAGCGGTCCAGGTTGATTACTTCGCTGTCTCCGATGTTGGCTAGGATCTTGGAGATAGGCTCATCTGTGTATCCCTAGGACAACAGAAGACGTCGAAAAATTTGTATTAAGAGTTTTAGCATTGGCTTCATATATCCATCTCATATACCTATGGACATAGACAAGCTTAAGCAAATTTTAAATAAAATTGAACAATTTGTAATGAGCCATATGAGTCATGAGTAAGCTTCTGTCTGATACTTTTTCCTTGGTTTGTATAATTGTAATAATTTAAGAGTCATTAATGATGCTTTAGTTCACATTGAGTTCATATTTAAGTTTTATGAGGTTAAACAGTTGTCGTACACAACAGGAATCAGTATAGTTGATAGCAATTAGTTGCTTAAGCTAGTTGATTTTTACCTGTTATTCAGCTATTAAGATATACCAATATAGGATTTTAATGCTTCAGGCTTTCTATTATAGTAAAATTTCTTTTTGTAAAAAAGTCTCAATCACTTCACTAAGACGGCAACAAAATTGTGCACATATTTTTAACTGAACAGTAAAAATGGATGAGTGTAAAATGGAGCATAACGATCTGTGCAGCATTTTAATTGAATTAGAGATGGTGCTTAGTCTTTATTTAGGAATATATGTTAAAGGTTCCCGTTTTGAATAATCAAAAACCACAGTTTTCCCAGGACACAATAATTTTTACAACATTATTAGGATTTATTCAATTTGAAAAGGACATATTTTTATCCATATTTAGTCAAAATAAATATGAACAAATACTGAAATTGTAGAGTTTTTATCAGCAACAATGATGTTTTAAACAAAGCATTATTCCAACAAAAGCGTTAACATTTTTCACAAACATTTACCTAAGTGGAGATAAATTCATTTTCAATGACAGATGAGTAATTTTTAAAGCTGGAGCTTTGAAAATTAACATTCAACAGAGCCGAGAGGCAGTTTAATTAAAATAATTACCTCATTTAGATTTTAACCAAGTTTTTGTAAGGTTTTGCGAACAATTTCGTACGAGAGCTAGAAACCACAGAGGAACGTAAAGTAAATAAACATTCCAGAGCTCTGGTTCATATTAATTAGCCCAGTCTGTTCGTCCATGTCTTTGAACTGTTACATATCCTCATTTGGTCTGATATCAAAGAGATTGAATCTTGTGATTTCAGTCGAGAATTAAATGAGTTACGTTTACATTTCACATTTGATCTTTAACGAGATAATTTACTTCTAATCAGTGCTAGTGGATGGAATAATTTGTCAAGAAGCGTGTTTTTTGGTGGAATTTCCCATGTAGGGAATTATGATATTACCGTAATATATGTGCAAGATAGCACGCTATTTGAGGACAACAACAACTAAGGTAAATCTAATACAATTTCAGTTCTTGACCTGGCAGAGTAAAATGTATGGGAAGGTAGTTTTTTATTAAGTTTGTTAAAAATTTAGACAGCATTTTGTTATTTCCAGAACCAAGTAAATTCCTAAAAAACTTGCAATGATGAAATTGCATCTTGAAATGGTGTCTGATATAATTTTTAATAAGGTTTTTAGGAAATTAACTTTAACCATGCAGAAAAAATATTGGGCTTAGGGGAGCGTAAATGCTAAATCTGGCCCTGGCAGAATTAGGTCCTCGAATGACTTGTCACTTACCCCTCCCCACCCCAGGGCTCTGGCTAGGTCGTTGCCAGTTCCGAGAGGTAACACCCCCACAGCCGGGGGTGGAGTGAACGATAGCTGGTCCAGGATGCTGAGCACCCACCCCGCCGTACCATCTCCACCACAGGCGAGCACTCTTAGGTTAGGCACTTTGCGGAACAACTCCAGTCTGAAATAGAGGAACAGAATTGTCAAGGTTTCGAATAATTCAACAAAAACAATACAATTTTTAGGAATACCTCGATATAACTTGATAACAATATAAACAATTTTTGATAAAAATCAAAACTTATCATAATTAACAGCAGAAGTGTTAGAAGAAACGCAAGAAATCTTACAAACTAAAACAATTAATTTCATTTCACTACAGAGGAGAAGCTTATAGTTGCTTTATTTATGTAAACATAGGTATATAACAATTTAGACAAATAGTGTTTTTGGCCTCTAGGGAAATCAAAAGGAAAAAGTAAATGGGTCCCAGGTCTAGATTCTATCGTGCCACCAAGGGTAATACAGTAGCTACTTCCCTATCCCCTAACAAAAGGGACTGCCATTTTATCTAAATAAATTAAAATATTACGTTAACATGGAAGAACCCAAGCAAGGCCACACTAAAAAACAGGCCGTAATGCTCGTCAAGCATGACGTCACGATAGAAGACGGCAATGACGTAATGTGAAGACAAGATGAAAAGATTAAAACAAGCAGCTGATCACAAACGGCAAACATTACGTCATTGCCTTCTTCTATCGTGACGTCATGCTTGACAAGCATTTCGGCCTGTTTTTGTAGTGTGGCCTTGACCCAAGGCTACTGAAAAAGAGGTTGCCTCAGTATGACTTCACCTGCTGACCCGAACGGTGCTGCTTTTAATTCACACAGCTGCCACCTGTAACATTATTTGTTGTTGTTGTTTTTTTTTTGTAAGTAATGTGAAAATAAATAAATGAAAAATAAACAACAATAACATGGAATTTGACAGGTGGCAGCTGTGTGAATAAAATGCAGCACCGTTTGGGTCGGTGACGTCATACGCTGACTGAGGCAACCTCTATTTCAGTAGCCTTGGGAAGAACGTACTGTAGCAGAAAAAGTTCTCAGCTGATCATGGAAAGTTATTAGTTGTTGGTAGGAAATTCCTATCCTACAGGTTACACTGTCAGTTTTTTAGTATATCAGTGCAAGGGGGTGGTTAGTCACTAAGCCTTACGTAAGTCTATCATTGAGTGTTTTCTATGCACTTTACTTCTCTTTGGTATTTCATTTATTTGGATTATAAAAAAAACGTAAAGTCTTTTTCAGGGACAATCCCTCAAAATAGCTTTTACTTCCCAATAAATTCCTTATTTTATGATCACATATTAAAATAGCAAACAAATGATAAACTCACCCCATCTTAGGACCTCCCTGGGTGAGGTCAAACACCTGTCTGGGGTTGAGGAGCCATTGGAACTTCTGCAGTAGTTTGACACCTTGATTGCCTCCGGATTTAGGGTTAATAAACACAATAACCGGCCGAACATTGGCTGTTGGGATGGGCTTTATCACAAAAGTCTTGGGATCTTTCTCTATCTGCAACACAAAATTGCATATCTTAAAACTCCTTTAAACATTGTAGCTTATTCACAAAATACTAAAACAAATTTAAAACATTTTACTCAGACAAGAAACCGTAGACAATCATATGAAATGTCATCTGAGATAACACACAGTTTTACAAGAAACAGAAGACAATCATGAAATGTAATCTGAGATAACACACAGTTTTACAAGAAACAGAAGACAATCATGAAATGTTATCTGAGATAACACACAGTTGCAACAGTAACACAGACAATCATGAAATGTCATCTGAGATAACACACAGTTGCAACAGTAACACAGACAATCATGTAATGTCATCTGAGATGACACAATGTTTAACAAGAAACAGTAGACAATCATGTAATGTCATCTGAGATAACACACAGTTTTACAAGAAACAGAAGACAATCATGAAATGTCATCCGATATAATACACAGTTGAACGCTTAACCGAGTTAGAACAACAGAAACTCAAATGCTATCTCTTGAACCAATTATAAGTGAACAAGCAGAGGATAAACATTGTCTCTGACTGATTAAATATCTCTTTTGCACCAAAGGATCATAACGCAAACCGTTTCAGCTAAATACTATTAAAGCTGATATATTTTCACAGTTATTGTAATACAATTTTTTTCAACCGTAGTCTAGATTAAACTAAGATTAAAGGACAATGGCCTGTGCATACCTTTTTCATTAAAGCAGATGGATTTGATCCAGATATAATATTTTTTGTCTAAAGTGAAACATAATAATAATTGAATTGCACTTGTAAATCTCACCAAGTTATGAATACAAAGAACATAGTATTTAGTTCAGGGTTTTGTAGATGTTCATTTAGTTTTTTATTGATATTTAAAACCAGACCTTTCATCCATATGATCAATTTTTGTAGGTCATAATTAATTGTTTTAACTGTTTAGGTTGAACACTTTCTAAGATCTTCTTTTCTAAGATAGTTTATTAAAAAGAATGAAACCATTGACACAACCAACAGAAATGAGCAAAATAGAAATTATTATTTTTTGTTGTAATATGGGCAAATGTAGTGTATATACATGCTTTCTTTATTTTGAACTTTTTATTACAAATTAAACGATTAAATCATTTTAGACTCCTTGTAAACCTGAAGATTATTTCTCTTGAGTTCTGAAACTATTTGTCACCACGTTAACCAAGGATTACTGTATGCAGGTGTTTAAACCATTTTATGAAGACAGTAATTCGGAGGCTACAAAACTGTTTTTATAATTTTCTTTTAACGATAATGCAGGTCATACAATACTTTTAACAAAGAAAAACTTAGATTCTTTCCCTGATTGACAGTGGTGTTATGTTGCAGTGGTGAGGGTGTTACATTTACCAACCCCAAAACCACTGACAAATCACTCTTGTACCAACTTACCCCATACTGACTACGTCTTGTAAAATCAAGTAGGTGTAGTTAACTGGGCTAGTCTGATTGCAGTTCAGCTGTTTCTACTTGAATTAATTAACTCTTTGGGAGGCAGTCAATAGGCAGAATCGTCCGTCCCCTACAGGATAATTAAATGGCCTTGGCCTTTGAGTAAAGGTCTATTGTTTCATTAAACATTAAACTGAAAGGTTCTCATTGTTATTCAGTGTTACCTTCTGCTCTGGTTAAGCTCCTTCGTATTTTTCTTTTTCAATTCCTAATTGAAGGTATAATATTCATTATTTTATAGTATCCGTCATAGGTCCTATACAGGGTGTTTTTTTTTTTTTTTGTAAGTGTGCCACCATTGGGATCTCAGTAACTAATGATTTTACAGCAAACTTTAAATGTTCAAACACACACACACATTCCCTTGTTTTTAAAGAGGTTCAAAAATAATTAAATAAAATTTTTGTAAATGGCCGCCATTTTCCAATATGGCGGTCAACTTTGAAATTTCTTAAGGAACACCCTATATTTTATCATGTTTTCAGATAGAACATGCAATTTAAAAACTTTTTTATATCTGGCATTTTTTCGATACACCCACTCGCTTAGGAGTTACAGCCTATGGAACAATGACTTCCGGTGTACATTTTACATCATGTAGCTCCTAAACAAGTAGGTTTATAGCGAAAATGTGAAGAGTAAATAAGTCAAATAAGTCTTAAAATTGCATCCACATTCCATAAAGACCATAAAATACACAGTTTTCCACTTTTCAAGTTTGCCACCATTTTGGAAAAGGCCGCCATTTTTGAAATAATAGAATTAATATTTTTAACGATTTTTATGGTCTTTATGGTTTTGTAAGAAATTTCAAAGTTGACCGCCATATTGGAAAATGGCGGCCATTTACAAAAATTGTATTTAATTATTTTTGAGCCTCTTTAATTACAAGGGAAAGTTCCCCATTTACAGTTTGCTGTAAAATCATTAGTTACTGAGATCCCAATAGTGGCACACTTATAAAAAACACCCTGAATAGTAACAGAATTTCAAGGAAGTCTTTCAGGCTATATCGCCCATTGTCAAAAGTATTATGAAATTAATCAAGTACCGGTATATAAAATCTGCCCTCGGCAACAAACAAACATCGATGCAAATACGGAAACAGTGAAAACAATTAACTCTAGGCCAGCAATGCTGAAATTTAGAAAACAAAACAACGCAGATTGCGGATTTGTGTCCCATGCCACGATTTAAAATTTATCAATACAGTTCAGTTTTTTAATCTACGGTACCAGCTCACCCCTTGCTTTGCGTTGCATTTTAAATGTTCAGCTCTTTGAGGGTTAATTATGTGGTTGGGCAAATTCACAGTTAAACAAGCTTCCAGCCTTCTAAAAAATAACGAATAAATAGATAAATTGTCCTCCAACTTTCAAGTTTCTCCTAGTAATGTGATCATGAATACCTACAAATTTTGTAACGAAGCAGGTTAGCTCAGTAAGACTTGACTTCACTGAAGCGCAGGATCAACATGAACATTTCTGTTACGTTTACTAATTAAATACTGCAGAGTGCCTCTTATAGATAACCTACTTATCCAGCTCTCCTGTCAGTGCTATTTTAATGTCTTAAGTCGCAATTGACAACAAAGAAACATTCAGAAATTCAGTTAGTATTTTTAACGTATACCTCTGGTTTTAACATGTTTCCTTTTAACTGTTTGAATTTTTTAAATTTAAGTTGTATGTTTCAAAAGAGCATTTTTGTACATTAATTGTAACTTATTACAACTTTAAAAATTACTAGGCTAAAAACTCAAGGAGGTTTAAATGCACAGAAAACAGTTTTTACATGTTAAGCGTAATCTTTAAATTTGGCCTCCAAGTATGTACTTCTATTTTGTCAATAATAAAATAACTTAATCAATAAATAAATTATGTACAAAATCTATAACCACTGTTAGAGAGCTTAGATGGTTTCCTAAGTATTTTAAACCCGTCTGAAACATTGAAGCAATTGATAGCTAAAGTATTTTTAGTATTACCAGATCCTAACTGATCTTAAATTTTAATTCATTTGTACAGTTTAGTTAGACCATCTACGTAGAATGATAATTTAACAAGTTATCAAAACTAGATTTTATTCTGGAGCTGTGGAATTATTTAAAGCTATTAATAGGAAATTAATGGGTTCATGGGTTGGCTAAGGAATCAAACTTCGGGGGGCGGCCAGTTTGGTTTTTTATATAAAATAAATTCATTACATTAAATTTACGTCATAAACAACAATATAGCCTTAAAACCATCAATATAATTTTTTAAAGCGAAATCTTAAAAAAAAAAATTATAATGTTTTTAAGGTACTATCTTTGAGTTTCTTACCTTTTCTTTACTTCGCTTTTTACTCGATGGTTTCTTTTTAGGCGACTTTCGAAGGCTGGATTTGAAACTCCCTCTTCTCGGAAGTTTCACAATCCAAGATGGCGGAACAATAATGTTGACATGATGACCTGAAACATAGTTCAAATAACATTCATTTGCCTCAATCAGTTTTGTTTAGTGGCCAATTCCAATTCCAATAGTGTTTTGACTGAAACTATTTTATTGTTGAAAGACAGTTAAAAGGGTAAAATAACTCCAACTATTTTTTTCTAGAAAGAATTTAAAAATTGAAATTCAATATTTCCCTGGAACTTATGTATTGAACAAAGGTGCATTTTCTACGTTATGTAAGAATATTGTTAAAATGTTCTTTTATAAGAGCCAAAACCGTTGCTTTGCCTTCTACTTTTATTACTCACTTCTATACAGATTTTTTAACTTAAACACTTTTGGCGAGAATCACCACAAAATAACAGATAATTTACTGCAGCCAATCAAAGAGGCTAAAGTAGCTATCTTCAATACTTAAACGTCATAGAAGGCAAAATTCATTTCTTCATAAAAGGTAGTTGGCTATTAAAAAAAAATAAACATTCATTAAAGACGAAAATTTATTTCACTACAACTATACGAGTCAGTAATATGTTATGTACATTCTAAAATAAGTAAGTATAATTATGCACTCCAATGTGGCCAATACAACAGCGTGGTCCCGGCCTATTGAAACAGCTGTTGCATTAATTCATAATAAAGCCTCTGTGCAATGTTTATGTTTATGTTACCATGGCAATAGGCCGGCCGTTGCGACGTTACGCCACAGCCTTGTATAACAAGGCTGACTCCACCCTCAAAATATATTTTTATTTTATTTTTCTCACAGAGGAAAGTGTACATTTCTGTTAAAAGGAACTCTTTTCTTTCGGTGCCCATGTAAAAATACAATAGGCTTACTATAGCAATTCAAACATGTTTTAACATGATTTGCCTTATAGTAAACACGTTTCTTTCACGTTAGATATTTACATACACCAAAGAAACTTAACTTAACGAGTTAAACTTAATCTAATCTCAAACAAAGGAGAGTGTAAATTATCTAGTAACTACATCTAATGCAGAAGTGATGGTTCAAAGTTAAACTAAGCAATTTTCGCCCAACAAACTTGGTATGTTATAGTTTGCAGATTTGTTGTTAAGATTAGGCAAGTTGCTCATCCTCGTCTGTAAACGTAAAGTTAAACAACGCATATAGAGAAAAGTTTTCATGCATGTAATATCTTCCCTTTGTGTCATACTTTTAATCTACCACTTAAATAATTCAAATTTGCGTTATGTTTCTATTGTACACTACATGTAAACATACATTTGCAAAACTTCAGTGAAAATGGATGTTTTCAATACTTGTTTAGTTATTTTATCCATGGAACAAGAAAGAATCTGTTAATCAACCATAGGATAGGCCTACATTTGTTTAACCCATTTTGAAAAAAAGGTTCTGATTAAAAATACAATTGAATGGTTCCCTTTGTCTGACCATTTTACTCAAATCTATCTCGTCATCAAAACTTTGTCAAATAGACACTTAAAAGAAGTCATTAGTTTATAACCAAATTGTTCACGGCAAAAATTTGCTGAGTATTGCGTGTTGGATCTAGATAACAGTAACCATATTTCTAAAAAGAGAAACAATAATAAAACAACTTTGCGAGCTAATTTATAAAAAAAAAACTATTTGAAAAAGTTACGTTTGTAAAATGGTTTACCTGCAGATTGGAGCAGTGTGACAATATAATTCGTAACACGGACTGAAATAGTATTTTTGACACTCAAACATTTCTCTTAAACCAAACTATAACTAGAACTTCATAAAAGTAATTTTAGGCATTTATAAAATTTAGTATATAATTAAATGGTTAGAAGTTAACTAAAAAAATGAAAGCTGCTAACAATTTACAATATAAAATTTAATATATATATTTATTTATTTAACAAAGAAAATATATATTTAACAAAGTTTACAGAGGATAATTTAGTTCATAAAATGTTTTGGCAACATATTTTTCTCGCACGGTAAACATCTTAGCATCAATCTTTAAACAGAGAGAGATTTCCTTAGACGTTTGAATATACACGGTTGTGTTAACGGGGAAAATAAACACAGGAAATGTTAAACAAACCAACATCCTTCAACAAGTTGCTCACAGACAATTATGGACTCTTCTTTTAACAAAGTACCTCATACCGCTGTTGTAATAAATACCCATATCACATGTGTTGTTTAATTTCAAATACAAAACCATTATATGGTCAATTTTTTACTCTGACATTTTTAGGCAATTGAGACAACTAAATTCTTTCCACAGGTTTCAGTAAAAATTTTGACTAATATGAAAAATTCAAATGATATTATGACATAACCCAACCAATCAATACATAACCTTTACCTGGGGCCTTTGACCCCAAAAACATCCTGACTACCTCCCTCCAGTCTAATAAAGGACAGTGACATTAAAAAGGAAGTAATGATTAAGTAAGAAGAAAATGTGTTAAGTTTAAACTAACAGTGAAATCAAATTTAATCAGGGATACTTTGGCAGGCTTATTGATATTTGACAGACAGGGTGTTTGTTTCTATTCAGACGAAACCCAAATAACTAGTGCAGTGAAACACTATTTATCGACAAAACAAGGTTATGTTGGTATCCCTGTTTTCTTAACTTCATAGCCAATCAGCTGATAGTGTTATTGGAGTTTTATTATAAATCACAACATGGTGTTTTCGCCAGATCAGAGAGTATATATTGTAAAAGAATACGATGAAGGTAAATTATCGGTTTTATGCAAAAAAGGTTTGAAATCAAGTTTCTATGTATGATTACCTAATAAATCAACTATTTATAGAGTTGTCAAACATTTAAGGAAACCTTATATGTAAAGAAACAGTAAATAACGTAGACACTCGATACATAACACTTAAACCTCGTAGATAAATATGCAACAATGCATATGATCAGCAATTAAGTAAATAAAACAGGGATACCAACATATAAGATTGCTGTTAGTCGTCATTAGTAGATTAGAGTTGTAACAAAGCAGGCAGTAAAACAGTCATTATTACGTTATATAAAAACAATTTCACGAATATATTAGAGGAGGTTGGCATATTTAAACAAAAATTCACTACAACTGGCCCATATAGATGGGAAGTAAACTTCAGATTCCTTAAGGGTGCGCTCTGGAATGCAAGGGTTTGCAAGATTACTGTTTTCACCTGCTACATTGAAGGTAGAATCAAAGTTAAGGTCTCATATTAAAGAGGATGAAATTTTCCATAGTTCTGCGTTTCATTATTTCATTTATTTTTAATACACACCTTATAAACTTGATTTGTAGGACAAGTGAACATGTATTTTCAACTATCCCTAAATTATTGAAAAAACGTTATTTGAAAAACACAGAACTATAGATTGGTATTTGCACTACTATAAGCCGTTTAGAGTGCGTAGCTATCATTATTGGTTAATTCTAAAACAGTAATCTTGGAAACCTCTGCAAGCGCTTCTCGCGGCACTGTCCATGATGTGTCCAATGGTGCAACATAGCAACTGAAGCCCGAGCTGAGGTAGAGCGCACCCTTAAGTCAAAGACCAGGACCATTTGTACAAAAACCTGACCAGCTGACAAAAATAGGATTCAGTTTCCATCTATCAAAAAATCAATGACTTTTCTCAACAATCGGTGACATATTTAAACTATCTGATTGTTATAACTACATATTAGCCACTATACTGACCTAAGCTGCATTCTTCCCCTATCTTCTGCAGGTTAAAGCAAGACTCCTTGTTGTGATAAGCTGTCTTGCACCAGGAACAACTGAGAGCAACGATCTCCTTTGAACTGAACGATAACTTGGACTGGAACGACTGAAACAGAACAAAAACTACTGTAAACTATAGAACAAAATGTGGTTGTATCAATGTTGAACAAACAGGAAAAAGTTCTATATGTTCTAAAACAATAAATACGACATCCCCTCTGGCCTAAACAATATGCCATGTCATCTTTTAGAATTAAGATAAAAAAATATACGCTGATGGTTAGTTATTGTTATTTTTTTATTTTCTTGTTTCTGTTTTGTTATTGTTCTATTTATTTCGTTTGTTATTTAAATTATTGATATTAACGAAAGTTGTTCTGAAAAGCAGTTGTACTGAGAATCGCTTTATAAATACAAATAATTCATTCATTTATTTACATATAATTATATTTAGTTTGAGCTCAATGATTAAAGAGGTTCTCTATTTGTTAGGGATGAGAATGTTAGTGTTTCATTATCTTATCCTAACAGAACACTACAGCGCTTAAGACCACAGCCGGCTTAAGACTCCAATCATAGCATAACGAAGATAAATTTACATTTAATGTGAAATTAAAATAAACTGTATCAGCAAACTAACACATACTTTTCCAATTAGTTTGTCAACAAAAATCTTTAAGGATAAGCGGTGGGAGTAACTATGATATTTTATGGGGAAAATCACAATAAATTGCAACTTTTGAATAGCAATTTTTACAGTGCTAGGAACTGTATAGTTTTGATTAAATTTAAAAGGACCATAGCATTCTAGAGTGAAATTAAAATCTATCGAATCCTTCGTGAAAAGATATTCCGTTAATCTAAGGATATTTAATAGAAAAATAAACATATCAAATTTAATTAATAAAAAAAAATTAAATAAATTCCTGGAGATACTAGTACCCACATTTAACCAAAGTCGGACCACAGGTGTAGTCTGTAGTTCATACACACAGAACTTTTTTTTAAGAACCATTTTTTCGGAAACCATACTTTGGGTTCAGATGGACCGAAAAATTATATTTTCACCCAAAACTCATAGAAAACTTTGACGAAAACAATACTTTCTCCACATAATGTATATGTATATGTATATATAGGAAGGTAAACTAAAAGAATGCGATGATACATTATTTAGCTAGTTAGTAAGTATTGTAACAACGGTAGATATCACATTGTATAATAACTTTCTGCTTTTATCTGCGTTGTTAAACTTTACTTTTACAGATGGGGATGAGCAACTTGCGTAATCTTAACGAATCTGCAAACTAGAACATTACAAGTTTGTTGGACACAAAAGTGCTTAGTTTAACTTGGAACCAACACTTCTGCATTATGTAGTTACTATATAATTTCCACTCTCCTTTGTTGGGGATTAGATAAAGTTCATCTTTCGTAGTTTGTTCATGAACTGTATGAAAAGTCCTGCTTTAAAACATGTTGTCTTATTCAACAGTTTTTTTTAATCGTTTTTTATATTGTCAGTTTTCAATCGGTTTTATTGTTTATAAATTTTAATCTAGTTACCAGATATGTGAAAACATATTTTTAATCTTGTAATATTGTACCTTTTAAGGAAATTATGAATTGGAATTACTGAATGTTTTCCTAATTTAATCAAACGTTTCCTTTAGCACAGTGACATAATTGTCTATGTATTTTAAGGTGAAAATGAAAGAAGGGTGAGTGAAAAAAGGAGAAAGAAGACTTGTGTAGCTTTTTTACTTACTAAAATAAACTACTGACTTTTCTCAGGATTGAATCGGGAACCTTTCGATCCTTTCGACCTTTCGGGGGGCTTTCGTAAGTAAGCTCTAAAACTAAGCTATACTGATCTTCACTTATTTTTCCTAAACCTACGTATCACATGAATGATTACAGTAACAATTTAAACCATTTGCTAATATTAAAACAGTAACATCTCTTGAAAATAAACGTCTTTCCATGAATTGAATAAATAATTATTACATATAGACTTTCATGAATAATGCCAATGAATAATGTGGTTGGTAGAAAAACATTTGGGATAGTACGAAGTGCTTTGTTTGATGTAGCCATAAAATACATTATCAGCTGTTTAATGGTGACAGGTGTTATAATCATCCTGATTATCGTGAATAAATCTTTGGTCCTCCGTGGGATAGGTTTAGTGACTCATAACCATGAGTCATTTGTCAAAATATTGGACAATGGAATGATCAACGAATACCAAATGATTTGTTAACTAAATATTAAATAGAATTAAAAAAAGCTATTAACTATTTTGCTTTACTTTCCTAGTGTTAATAATATACATATTAAAGTTTTCATATCGTAAAAATATATTTAAGCACTATTAATTCCTATTATTGACTTATTACAGTGTGTTTTTAAGTGGGGGAAACTCATTCATTTTTTGTTGATAGATGTTTTAAATAATTATTGATACGGAAAAAACATTTAGTGTCATATAGTGTTGTTGCGTTTTGGTAACTATTTTACCTGTCAATAGACACAATATTCTTATTTAAATTTGAGTTTAGCATTAGCATGGATTAAAAATGGTTAGTTGGTATTATTGCCAAGGACCGATCTGACAGCTAGTGCTAGTTCAGGATAATGGGTAAGCATTGGGATTAACGGTATTTTTAATGGGTAAAATCACAACAGTGGACGATCATTTTTACAGTATTGGTGGTTGTACTTTTTTTAGCTAAAGGGGTCATAAATGATTAAATATTTATCATAACGGTTTGAACTGTTTGTGCGGGGCTTATGGGTAAATTAAAAATATCTACATAAAAAAAACTTTTTAAAATTCCTGGAGATACCATAGGTTTACCCACGTTCCAAATGTTGTAAAAATCCAACCATAGGACTTGTAGTCCACATTTTTTCTGTTATAATATTTTTGGGATGCCCAAAACGGATATTTGCACTGAAAAATCTAAAAAAAAAACGAAAACAGTACTTTCTTCTGTATAGAGGGAGAAAAGAAAAATATTTGCTGAAAACAAAATTCTACTCAAGTAATGTAAACAGAACCAAATAAAGGGATTTTATTGAGTGAGGTTATCCGACTTGGAGTCGGAAGGAGAGCTTTTTTACATAACAATGGCAAGAGCCAAGGGTTCAATAGATGTCTGATTATTCTGTAGCATGGATAACTCTGAGCTTTTATCAAGTTTTTAAAGATGGATTTACAACTGTTTGGAAAACTGTGATTTAAACTTTTTAGGGCGAGTAGCATTTCTGATTAACTTTTACATTACGGGATGGTATAAGAAAATATATTCATAGATATGTAGCTAAGTAGTTATCATGCTTGCCTTACATTCAGAGGGTTGCCGGTTCGATCCTGAAAAATCAGTAGATTTTTTACCATTCGAAACTGGGCCCAGCTGATATTGATCTTTATCATTTGGATTTTAATAAATAATCCTGGCTATATTACAGTCTATCGTAGTCTGTAAAATATTTAATGTCATCAAGACAACAATCATATTATCTCTTTAATTCATCCTTCAATAATAAATACCTTGGTTTGCCAGCAAAGTGTAAATACAATTAAATGTATATATTTAACGTCTAGTAAACTATTACTGTATAAATTTGGATACGAATATTGTTAAGTGTTAGAAGATATATTTTACTGTAGGTATTCATAAATTAAAGACTTAAACAAAGAAACCTCTTAAGAAAAGGGGTTTGATTTTACCCTTTCTTTGTTTTAAACGTGTACTTCATACCCAATAAAAACTGTTATCTTTTAAAGTTTTAAATTCGCCAAATAACCCATTGTAATTCGATATTGTGAACTATGTTTTAAGAAGTAAAGTACATAAATTCCAGATAGCAAAAGTTCTTTTCTTTACTGTTTCAAGCTTTATCTAAGTGTCGAAGCCAAACAATGAAAAAGTATTCTAGAAACTTTATAACAGACTAAACTCTAAAGATATTCAGTTTCAACTAAATAATTCAAAATATATTTTTAAGTGAAGAAAATCAGTCCCAAATGTTATTTTGGATAAGTAACGATGTAAAGTATACGTATAAGATGGAAGTATGCGTTCCTCCTAATGGTTAAGTTTAGTCAATTTTAATATCCCCAGCCACAGCATATATTCTATACATGTTGCCCCTAATGATAATAGCTTCTTCCCAAAAGTGAAAATTTGCAAATAAAAATAACTTAGTTCTATTGAGATACTGATAGAGTATGCTTCTGTAAAATACAATATATTTATTTCTCATACACAGTTAGTCTTGCTACACAGATCATATCTCGCTCCATTCTTGTTTCTCACTGGATTTATATCCAACTTAAAATATGGACGCAGGTGTGCATCCCTGTCTTAGAGAATGGATTGATTGATAAATCTATCTATATGTAAATAGCGATAAACTGCTCACTTTTTTAATGTCTTATTAAAATTTGTTCAACTTTGTCAAACAATTTGTATCACATTTTCTGTCTCTGGATGAAATTTAATGTGAAAATAGGTTTCAAATTTGTCAGAAAAGGTATGATTCGTCCTCAAATTTGTTGAGATTATGTAAAAACTATTCTTATGTTTGTTTAACACTAGAATTGAGCATAGTTAAATTTTTCATTTACAATCCTAATTACTTTGTCAATTAGTTGCAATTTCAACTAATATTTAAGCTGTAGATTAAATGAAAATTGTAGTTGGAATTGTCTTTTCATTTTTTATCTACATGCTTATTTAATAAATTGCATGATTTAAGATCTATTGAGCTAAAAGCATAAAACTACTTATTTGAGAGTTTTTATTTCACAATATAGTTTTATGCTAACTTTATAAGGAGAAAACTAAAATTGAAAACAGTTTTCTTTCACACAGTGTACAATTTCTCATATTACAAAGAGTGACTTTTAAACATTATTTTGTTACACATTATTTTTTATATAAATTAATTTTGTTATTTTAATGATACAATACTGTTTCAACATCTCACAGAGAGTAAAATAACCTAAAACTGGGAAAGTAAGATTCTCGTGTTTCAGCAAGCAATAAGCAACAGAGAAGTTGGAACATCAAAGTACGTTGTTTGAAAATGTTTTAA